TCAATTACGAGTACGTACAAGACTGAAGCAATCGGATCTCCCTGTTTTAGACCAACTTTCAGGGGAATCTTTCTAGTAAAAGTGTTACCGACAACAACCGAGATAGAAAAGTCGGTATGCAAGAGTTTAATGTATTTAATAAAATTTGGAGGAAACCCATATTTCTCAAGTATTTTTATCAAATACTCAAAAGACACCCGGTCAAAAGCTGCCTCTTGATCGAGTGAAAAGAGAGCCCCCACAAGCTCATTTGACTGAAAGGCATCACGCATGAAAGTAAGGTTGTCATAAATTGAACGACCCTTAATTCCACACGTTTGCCATGGACCCACCAGTAAGGGTAAAATAGGAAGTAGTCGGGATTTTAAAACGTTGGATAATATTTTGTAGTCCGAGTTAGTCAAAGAAATCGTCCTAAAGTTGGAGAGATCATCCACAGACCCTTTTTTATGAATTAGGCTTGAAATAGCGGTGCGCATGCATAGGGGGAATCTACCACTATTTAAGGAGAATTGTGCAACATTCTCTAAAATAATGGAGAATTGCTCCGAAAATTTCTTGTAAAATTCATGTGTAAGTCCGTCAAGTCCAGGTGCCTTGTCATTTTGTAGCTTGGAAATGCACGCCGCAATTTCTGTGGAACTAATCTTTGCAGCAAGCTGTTCTGATTGCTCCCCAGGAACAGTTGGAATTCCTTGCATAAAATTATCGAAGTTGGTAAAGTCCACTGCCTTACATTCAAATTTAGTTTGAAAGAAGTCAGTAATTAAGGACAATTTACTTTCAAGGGACATATTAGAAAACGAATTAGAAATTGATACAGGATTATCACGACAATTTATTTTCTTCTTCGGGTAATCCTGACAAACTAAAAAATTAGAAAAAGTATTATCTAAACTATCTATGAAAATTTTAAAAATATCAGCGTTACTAAGATGTTGACTAGAACTAACGAGCTGAATATCCTTTTGTACTTTTTTTACTACATATTTGAATCTACGTTTAAACGAGATGCCAAACTCCATTGAAACCTGAACTATCTTATTTTTTAAAAAGGTATAACTTTCCTCAGAGTAATCGGATTTTAAAATAAAGTCATTGAGTAAAAAGGAAATTGAAAAATTAAAATCATCAATGTTTAAAAGGTGGTTCGGAAAAATCCATATATTTTTAAAATCAAACGAATGGTCAAATTTGAGAAAGATATTAAAAATCACGTGATCACTAATGAAAGGAAACATTTGACATTTTACAACATTAGGAAACTGACTAGTATTAAGGTAAATTCTATCTAATCTTGCCTCCGAATTGTTTTTTAATTTACTAAAATACGTCATATCACAACCAAAAGGGTTAAGATGACGATACGCATCTGAAAGATTAAAATTTTGGCATATTTTTGAAAATTCTATCACTATCCCTTTGCGACGCTCAACTGATCGTAAACGGTCTAGCGACTCATTGAGAACAAAATTCCAATCACCAGCAAGAAAAACATTATCTTGACTAGGACAAGTACATATGGAAGACTTTAAGATACGCAAAAAGTTGAAACTATCCAGATTATTAAAGGGAAAATGAATGTTATAAAAATAAAAGGTCTGGCCAAAAACTTCAACAGAAATGTGTTGAAGTTTTCCAGGAATAAGAATAGAGTTACTTAAAACATTAAATTGGTTTTTAACTAAAACAATAGTACCACTACCAAGAGTAGTAGACGAATTATAAAAAGTTTTATAAGAGCTCAGCACAAATGATTCAGATTTTGAGATGTTAATATTTGTTTCTTGTAAACAAACAATATCAGGGGAAAATTTAACTATTACGGAATTTAGGCAACTGCGTTTGACAGCATTATTCAAACCCTGACAATTAAGTGTCCAAATGTTCAGAGCCATATGTTAATTAAAAAAATATTTGCGAAATTTTTGCATTTCATCATCCGAAAGCTTATTGGCCAGTTGGTAGGCCTGTAGCTCAAAATTTCGAAAATTAAGGTCAGTTCTGTCCTTAATTTTCTCAATTTCTTCGGATGACAAATCGATGTATTTTGACACTAATTTTAATATGTCATGCATTTCGGTACGTACTAACTCTTGACTCTTCCCCAAAGAATTCACCACCTCAAAAAGGAGATCGTGTAACTCTTGAGGGTTTCTAGTCGCCATTGCTACTTGTTCGTAAAAGTGGGTATAGCCCCCCTTAAAAAAATCGCGCTTTAGGTTCCTCAGAAACATATAAAGATGTTCTTTATTGAAAGAAGGGTAGGTTTTAAAGTTACCCTTCTTCCAAACATCGAAAGCCCAGGTGGTGGGACTTGAGATTGGCACGGTAGCGGCACTCAATGACCTGGTCACAGAACGGTCAGTTTGATTTGGTGGTCTACCCGGTTTGCGTCTTTTTGGCCTTTCTGAGCCAAGTGTTAATGAGGAATCAAGTCCGGAATCCGTCATTCCTGACCCCTCATTTTGACTTGGAAGGGAGTCAAACCTCCGCCGTTTTTGGCTTTCAGTTTGACCCTGATCTTCCACAGGAATCGTTAGAGGAACAGATTTACGTTTGGAGGTCTTGGGGGTTGGTCGTGAAACTGGGACTGTTGCCTTTGTTGGACAGTTGTTACTAGTATGTCCAGGCTTATTACACTTGAAGCATTTCTTTGCCCCCACCTGAACATAAATCACGTGTTTTTTGTTCTCCCAAGAGATTGTTAAACCTGGAGGAACAATAACACCATCCGAAATAGCGAGGGACACAGTGAAACTTTTTACATGGGCAAAATCTTCACCCACATTGTAACACGACTGGCGTTCTAAAGCGCCACGAATTTCACCATACTTTTGCAAGTAACTAAGAATTACTGTATCCGGTATAAAGGGTGGAACATTACGAAGGACCACCCTGTGTACCGGATTAGTGTATCTGTACATTTTGGTCATTTGACCTTTTATCTCGAGGGTGTCAAGACCAATTAGGTCATCCACACTCTTATCCGTGTCCAACCAGACACCAAAATTAGCAGCAGTAACAAAATCTGCATACAAAATTTTTTTAGGAGAAATCACCTTACCGAGAGCCTCCAAAAGCTCACTGAGTGTGACTCCCTTAATTCTTCGGATAAGCACACCTTTCGACTTATCCAACGCGGAGGATGTGGGGTCAGGTGGCATGACCGCCATGGTCGCAGCTTTGCTGTAGGAAGGAGCAGGGGATCCTTCCAAGGGATCTTCCTGCCCCAACATTGTGGTGGTGGTGGCTGAGATGACGTCACACCATAAATTACACTGCTAAAAAATCCACACAAAAACTGCACTAAAACTGCACACTTTATGCAAATTTGGAGAAACTTTGACTTCCTTGGGTTGAAGTTGACCCTAGCCAATATTTGACCACTAGCCAAAACTTCTTAGCTACTCAGAAAAGATAAATTTTTAGAAAACTAAAAAAAAACCATCAGAGAAAGAAATTAGAAAGTCTACTCGGTTCTCCGTTCGCGCTCTTCATGTATTATGTAGCTCTCAGCGTTTAAGATCTATGCACGTTAATAAAAGTGGGTGAAATTGATATCGTGAATACACATAACAAATGTTAGCGATATAAAATAAGGTGCGTAGGAGGATAAATACAAACTCTTTTGGCCTTTACACCTATGGGTGTAAAGTTTTATATGTAAAACTCATTGAAAAGTCAGCTCTGTTAAACCGAGTGTTTCAAAAGGGTCCAAAGATTGCAAATGTATTAAAGGCCTTGGTCTTTTAAAGTCGGCGGAATGATAAAGTAGTCACAAGTCTACAGCTTCAGAACTTGAACCACTTAATGGTACGACATTGATTGAAATTGATTGACAGTAATTACATAAAATAATTCTCTAAGAGTCATAGTATCCAATAATAGGGGATAGGTTAAAATAATTACATTTTCAAGGATTCTGCGCGGAGCGTTCCTTTCACCTTATTCACTAGAATAGTTTCAAATTCGAATTTTACAATTGCAAAATCTTTGCATATTTGTTTATGAGTATAATAAAAGATATTAAACATAACCCGCTTTCTTTTATTTTACTATACTTTTGAGTTCATCTCGCTGCTGAAAGGCAAAAACTGTCTTGATAGATGCTAAATTCCGATGATAATAGAACTCTGATGTTTTAAGTAAGTATAATCATGGATTTCCGTTTTTATTCTGTTGGTGGTTTCGACAGTCTGCATACGAGCATGGTTGTTTTAAAGTGCTTTCTCTTTCTCTCGACATTGCTCTATATCCACATTACTATAGCATTGGATCTTCATGGAACTGTCAGTAGCACGAGGGAGGGATAGACCACAACTCCTTCGACATTCAGCTACGGAAAAATAGGAGAGAGAGAGAGAGACCCTTCTTCTCGTCCTCCACTGTCATTTGATGGTGAATGGAGGGAGACAAGTGTCACGTCATGAAAATCAGGACGGCTGCCCTTTGCTGCATGAGTTGAGTTGCTCTGTTAAATTTATTCATATCTGTACTTCTGCCCAAATGATGCATTTCTTCCCAAACCCATTGAATGAAATTATGAATGCTGAAACAGTCCTTATCCTTGACAGTGGGTGACAGTCGTGCGACCGCGGTGTACATAGTGAAACGACTACTGCTGTATTGCATCATTAGGTCAAAATGGTAATGGTGGATTGCTGTAGCGGTCACATTGCATCAAAAAGTGTAAGGACAAATAAAATTTTGGGTAATGTACCAGTGCGCATTTCATTATAAAGAGTAAAAGTGGGAAAGTCACCCTCTTCACTTAACTCAGCAGTCTGATTTTCGTCTACGGACCCCACAAAGAAGACAACAAAATTGTCCAGCTTGATTTCTGCCTGGCATAACACATCAATGTCAGCTTGGATGGTTGGTGACAGCATAAGCTGACGGTAAAAGTAGATTCTCTGAAATGAAATGTTACCACTGGATTTATTTCAGAGCTTCAATGCTAAATATATGTTTGTGAAACTGATCTTTCTAATAGAAAGTAATTTGAGATGGTTTTAGTTCTTTATTTTTATGACAAAATGTGCAGCATAATATTATTGTTTTAGACATCATCCCATTCTACTTATGCGTTTACTCCTGCTAAATGATTAGTTCCATAAGTGTACATTTTAAATATGCACATGTTTATGGTTGTAGTTAGTTGACACATTAATCGTGTATGTGACAAATTATAGGAATACTTTGATCAGTATTTAGAAGGTACTTCGGTTCACATCGGTCGACTGTCCAAAATGGAAAGTAAAATTAACAAGAAATAACATCCTTTACATTCACCTACTTCGGTTTAAATTTCATTATTTAGGCTGCGGATGAAATGTTGAAGTGATGCTCCAATGACTTGTGGTGCTTATCGTCGTCAAACAAGCTTCGAGGCTGGTATTTTCGGCCCAACTCTGATGTGGAAGAATACTGATGGGAAAACATTTTCTCTTCCAGCGTTTGTGTATAGTTTCCATCCTTGTCATAACCTTTCTCAAATTTTTTCTCGTATTGTTCCTCCTTCGACTTTGGAGGAATGCTGGTGTGCCATTTGGAGGGGTTTCGATCAAATTTTTTGAGAGCAGAATCCAACATGAAATCATCATCGTCCCGATTATACTGGAAAATAGGGCTCACATTTCGTAAGACTTTGTCAGATTCCATTTGCATTCTTTCCAAACTTTCTCTAGAAATGTGTCGGTGTCTATCAATAATTTCTTTGTGAAGCTTGTCAAAGTTGTCGAGGGGGCTGCGAGTCCTTAAAAAATCGTGGTTGTGATCACGGAAGAATTCTCCACGTTTATCATCCAGACCAAGAATTGCTGTCTCTGTGTTGTTTTTACCATTTTTGCTGGTCGGGGTGGAAGACCTCTCTTCGCTCATTCTGCTACTACTGCGGAACTCTGAGAATGACTCCTGGACATTGTTCTGGCGACTGAGGGTTGGGATTTTCTTGGACTGTGGTTCTGGTGTAAAACCATCGGATAGGGTCGAAGCTGGTTCCTCAATTATCGGAGAGTTACTGTAATTAAATAGTATTTAGTTAATTAATTAAATCATATACCCATCAGAATCTAATCGTCTACATCAAGACAATGATTATGTTTGCATACATACATGCTATTTTGCATATTGCTGAAAAAGTTACCTTGCGATGGTATCGTCCTCATTAAAGGAAACTGTTCGGCTCCTTCGTCCACTTGTCCCATTATTGTCTGCAAACTCGTTTGGTTGTGGGGATAGCGTTGCTCGGCCCTTGTCACTGCGACTGCTTCGTCCTGAAGACAATTCATGATCTCCATCCAGTTCAGTTTTTGTGGCAGTAAAGGTATTGTTGTTGGTAGCCTTTGGAGCTCCATTTTCTCGAGAAATTGGAATAATTCGTTCATTAAGGTGATGTATGGATGTGCTGCTACTGGCATTGTTGTGTCGAGTGTGGTAACCTTGGGTAAAAATAGGGACGAGACTATCGTGATCCTGTATTTGTTCTCCGAATAGTTTTCCATGAGAGCTGTACAACCTATTTGACCGTGGAGCATGACCTCGAATAACCAGCACCTGCAACCGAGAGTTTTGTGTAAAAAGTTATGCATATTACAAGTACATATTGTATGTTAATTTTTAGGTACCCCATCCTTCGACAAGTAACATTCCACACTTGATGGATCCACGCTCTCTGGCAAATTATACTTGCGGGTAAACTCCCGAGAAACAAAACCATCCATGTCAGGTCGCTCTCCGTGTTTCCCTTCGACGATGACCGTTTTGTCATTGGCTAGCTTCACACTAAGTTCGGAAGGAGTGAAATTGGTCACCTCCAGCATTACCTTTATTCAAAGTAGGATCTATGATTATCCATTTCTTAATCTTTACTGTTACACATAATCCAAAAAATTGTACTTGATAAATGTCATCATCACTAATTCTGCTCAAGTTGGTCTTGCGGAACCAAGGTTTAACTCGGTCCTCGGAAATATCCGTAGTCACATCTTCGTGAATGATGTGTTTTCTTCTGGAAGATTGACCGCTGCTTCCGTCAACGATACGATAGCAATCCGAGAAAAACGAATCGCCAAAGAGGCCATCGTATCCTGAACCACTTGTCCACCTTTTCGATGGCATTCCGGTAAAATTTCTTTGGAACACAAAAAGCTTCGTTAGAGAGTAGCCAAGCAATGAGATGCGATGTCCTGTTACCACGACCAACCACCTAGACAAACTACCATCAACAGCAACGAAACCGCTTGGCATGTGTTGAAGATCTGCCAACTATCACACCTACGTACAAACGTCATCTCGTCTAACTATAGATTCAACATCTTTCTGACTCATCGCTTAAACAAGAGTCTAAGCGAAATAACACCTGAAACGATAGTGCTCTCCAGCCCTCTCTAATGAAACATCTCTATGTGTGTGGTTCGCCTGCTAACTTTCCCAATGCATATGTATGTATGTACATACATATTTGTAAAGTGTGGTTAATGAGGGTGTTTAATTCCTGATCAGTAGTTAATTTTCATTTATTTCTATATGTTACGCATACTTATTGTGTTTGAAATTCACTCGTGTTATTTTCGCAACGCAAAAAATAACTGCAGAATAGGAGGGATGCCGTATCTATCTGGTAATGAAAGAGTGCTTAAATAAACACATGATTTAAACAGTATACACATCCTTGAAAAATTCAAGAGTCAAGGTCGCAGTATAAATTTCAAACCTGTCGTTAATTTTTGGAAGCGTTTGACAATTTTAAGCAGATGTATAAATTAATTCCTCATTATCGACCTGTTTTGTTTATTTATTCATGCATTCACATTTAGTTGACACTCGACTAACATCAAACAACAGTACTGCGATCCATGGCAGGGAATGATTGAATCTCATTGTATAGTCGGTTCTAGAAAAGCGTTACGCGTTTCAACATAAGCCCACATCACACGAATCGTAAAACTTGTTGTTGAACAAGGCGAGTAAAAAATGGCAAAAAAATACAAGACTAGATTAGATTCACAACAGGCATTTACTTCCTTTGCTGCTATGACAGATTGTTTAGATTCGCAACAAGTTCTGCACTCACTACATATTTAAGTGACTCATGCTGAGGAAGGATTCTTCATGATGTGGAAAAGTTGTGTTCTTTACTCAAGTGCGCAGTCTTACAGAGCATACTTCTTGCGATGTGGTGGCTTATGTTTTAACGACATTATGCTGCAATCGCTTGAGAATTATAATGATATCTGCACAGCGTAAAGGAAAAGAGATTCACTTTATTTAAAGCACATTCGAGTGTGAATGACGCCATCATCCATCCGCCCTCAATTCTCATTCAGGAAGGTTCCATTTGATAGGTTTGGTTTATGTATGCGCTGGTATTAATACTAAACCGAACGTTTGACGATTTAAGCCACGACCGATTTAGAAATGACATAATCTCAATTAACTTGGGTCCAATTTCTCGTCTCAAATTTGCAACTTCCTATCAAGTGTTTGATCTTACATCATAGATTGTGTGATAAGCATCAAGTTGTTATGAAACATAGGGTGGTAAAGTGGAAGTATGAAGTGTCAAATAGTGCTAAATCACAAGCTAAATACAACACTATTCAAACAACTCGGTGGTGTTACTTTAGGTTCCAGTAGAGCTAATTAATGAGCTGGAGAGGTCTTACGACTTTTAGACAATGATTGAGTGGAGCACTAATGGTTGTTAAATTACTAGAAAACATTGCAGTACATACAACTTATGAATGCTTGTATTAAATATTCGTATTATTATACTCATACCGTATTATTCGCACATATTTTAGCTATGAATATAGCACAGCGAGCTTTACCTGCTGAAATTTTTTGGCAATCTGACCATTTCTAATCAGTTTATGGTGCATATGAAATCTAGTTGTTTTATGTTTCCAGCAAATCTATTTGTATTATTTTATCCAGTTTCAGGTCATAATAATCCAAACAGTTTGATTTGTCTGTCTGTAGTTGTGTTACAGGACTTGCGACGCATCATGTGGAATAGCTGAAAGGTAATTAAATAATTGTGCATAAATTATTCAACAAAGTATCCAACAGTTAACACATGCTGGCTGACTCTGCACCCTCGCTGTACAAACGGGCACATATCTGCTCAAATTATTTATTTCAACATTCCGTTCCTCATAATTGCATGCTGCCAAACCAACTCTCCTGTTGTGTGTAATCCAGCAGAACAAGAAAATGCGTACTTGATGTCAGATATTTGGTCGCACTATAGTTTAAATTATTCCACTGCGAATGAAAATATGGAATGCCTACGTGCATGAACGAGTACAAGTATCTAATGGTGAGCATTGTAAACCTTTTTGGGGGAACCAAAGCCAAATTATGCCCAATTTGAGAATCTGGTTCATGTGGAGATTTTGATAGCATTTTACATTCGCATCGCACTTTAGCATTTGTGGCTGGATAAAATTATCTACATATATACACAATCCGAAAAATTTGTAATTACTTGGACAATGCAATTAAAACTGAGATAAAATTTAATTCACATCAATGCATGAATTTTATGGTTTTTGACGCATTTTTTGTCGGCAACCTAGAGATTTGTTGCCTCACAAAATAAAGATGACTTATAGCAAACTTATAAAATTAATGTCACAAGTATATTTAAAAATGTGCAGTCAAATACAAATACATTTGGATTAGACATTTGCATTCTTTAATCAATGCAAGAACTTAACCGCATTTGCACATTTAATAATTTAGTTCAATTTCCTCTGGAGCTTGTTAAATATCATTAATTGCATTATCTATCTATTTGATGTATGCAGGATTTCCCGTTTGGTTTAGTTGATTGGTTCTGGAAACATACCCCATGAACTTAAGAGTAGCACTGAAGCATACTTGATACTTGATTTTTTAAGTAAATTATTTGGAATATAATGAGTAATGTATGTGTAACTTCAACTTATGATTGCCTTGAATTTTAAATATTTGCCATAGTCTAAGAACATCAGATGGCATCATTTTTAAGTAGTTCGTATCCGTCATTTAGTTATTGGCAGTTTGATTCAATTATTCACCAGCTGAATAACACACAAAGTAATGTGGTCATATTCGTACAAAATAACGTTACGCCCCCCATCCCTCATGTAAACACGCTGGCCTACATGTGCTCGTACAATATGAAACCCTTGGCTACCAACACTACCAAACCAACCCAGAATTTTTCTAGCTAAGTGAAGTTTCATGTCAAGTCAACTCACAGTCCGAGTCAGTGTTCGAGTCCCTATTCCCTGATGCGTGCGGTGCGTAGTTCATGGTTGACAAATCGTCAGGGCAAAGGAGAAAATACTCATCAGAATCTGCGTTACGCTGCCGATGACAATGTCAAAAGAATAGGCGAAATAAAATAACAAGCAGAATGGATTCTGTGCCATCAGTCTGTCAGTCACTTTTCACACACACGTACACACCCATTCAAAGGGCCGACAATTTCTTTGGGGGCACTGCAGCAGAGCTGCTCTTCTATCCACCCGATTCAAACCTCAATACAGCAGCAGCAACATCATCATCATCATCTCATATTATTATTACACTCCATAGAATAAAAAGCTCAACCCCATTGCTGTCATTGTCCTATTTGTCGTTCATTCATCCACTGCAAACAGTCATTCATTTTTACTTCCTCCGCGACCAAGTGCCTATTACCCAACATTAGAATGTAAATGAACAGAATATTCGGATTCCATGAAAACGCGAGAGAGAAAGCGAGAAACTGATTCTGGAAAGACTGTGTATCAAGGAAGTTGCTTGAACGATAAAGTGCAAAAATATGCAGCTCAATGTGCATGGTGCATGGCATAGAAAAATACCGTTTTCCACATCACATTTGCTTCGCTATTTCCGGAATTGTTTGAAATATTACTTGTATGAAAAGTGCGGATAATAAAAAATATTCTCTTTTGTATAATCCAGCGCAGCTCATCAGAGCATTTTGTGTTTTAAGAAAATTATTTCCATCATATAATAGTAATTCACAGACGTCAATTCTGTTCATCTCATCACACGGAGTTTTGCGACTGGCTGCATAAGTACGCATATGAATTCATTCTGTATTTGCATGGAATGTTTTGAAAGAAAAAAGCGTGGGCTAGTAGTCAACGACGGATGACGGACCTACATATTTATGATACTGATTTACTGTTACGATTGATTTGCTTTTAGGCTGAAAAATTTTCGGAGTGGTTTACATATTTCTGTATGGACATACATATATACACATATTCGTAATCGAAAAATGCAGATAGAAACAAGCTACTACTTATATGGAAGAAGTTTTCAGACTGACCCGACATTTCAATTTTGCACACAATGTGTAGGCCATTTTTCTCTCTTGAAATTGCTTTCCTTCTTAAGTGGCCTTTCCTGGAAAAAAACGATCAGAGTATCCGCATCTTTCGATCGTTCCATTTCGGTAACGGATATCCAAAAATATTTACATTTCAGTAACTCATCCGAGGTCGCCTCGTAAAATATAACAATCTGGTCCTATGTATGAATTGGCTGATTATTCAACTTTGCCATTGCCAAAATCACTAAATCAGAGTCAGTATTATATCTCTTAAACCACAATGATAGTTATTATGTTTGCAATATTGAATGTCCTGCAAAACTTTTGGCACCCAAAATACCACAATCTCCCAACCGCAACCTTTTCGAACGCTCCAGCTTTGTTTCTCCATTTCCTCCAGCTTCCAATTGCAGATGAAATGGATGAAACCTGCAATTTTCACGAGTTGTGACTTTTGTTTCAGAATCAGACTCAAGAAAGACTTTGGAGGATTAATACTGTCAACTGCACCATGTTTATGTTTTTGACATTTTTATTAAATGTTTATACTTTCTTTTGTCTTCATGCGAGGTTGTAACAAGAAGAAGTTTGGTTTCTGCTTATTACCTTCAGCCCATCTGAAGAGTTATATCCTTGTACTTAACCAGGGTTTTCAAACCAACCATGCAAAATGAGGTAGCAATGTCAGGTTTCTATGTAGCTCTCACTTTAAAGCATATAAAACATACTTGTGCATTCAATATAACTCATAGCTCTTTCCGACATAGATAAGTAATTGAATCTTAAATGTAGTTTCAATCTAAATATTTTGCCATTGTCGTATCGTTGCGGTTACTAAAATATATTTACGTACATGCATAACTAGACTAAACAAACTGCGGTCAACTATTTTATTCTTAGCTCTTATTCTTGGAAAGTTGTCAGTTCGTACATATTTAAGTATATAATAAAAATAATTACCGACTTGCATACTTGGATATCTGTGTATTCGAGTGTTTGGGGTTGGATACATTATTAATTAATAATGCATCTAATGCATATCATTATATTGATAGGAATTAATTGGGCAATATGTCAGCTAGACCGACTAACCACAGATAAGACTACTAATTAATGAATAATGAATGATTAACGCTTATTAAAAGGATAAGTCTGCAGGTTTCAATTTAGAATGCTTTATAAATCAAGAATATTTTCGATTGTGGTATTTAAACTGACAGGGTCGACTTCATTTTCTATTCTTTGTCCAACTTTCAAGGGAAGAATATGGATTGAATTTCATTTTCAAAGACAAATCTAGTCTCCCATCGCCCATGCTTTGTTGGAGTTGATTTATTACTTATTCTTCCGATTTAGCAAAGCAAAAGTTACGATTTAAGAAACTTTTCCTCCCCCTTTCCAACTTACTTATTGCTTGTTACAACTTCTCAGCCACTCACCACGGAATAAATAAGAGGTGGAGAAAGTGAAATGCCGTACGTCTACAGTCACCACCAGTGTTTTTCTCTCAGCTATCTGTGCCACTTTTAATTTGTGACTGGAAATCGAATGTGACGAGAGGAACCGACCACGGGTGAAGGTTCTATAACAAATTTCATGAAATTCTTCAAATTGTGAAAAGTTGAAGGGGAAGTTTAAATCAAAATCAAACTTGGTTCAAAAAAGTTTCGGGTTGAATGCTCAGCTAACTATTTGAAATTGATTTGATTTGAATGCTGAACGTCTAATTTGAAATTTGTCTGGAGTGGAGTTGAGTGCAGAGTCGAAGAAAAATGGCCAATGTTTACCGAGATTACTTCAACACCCTTTTAGAGAGGCTGCGAACAACTTATCTGGAGCGTCGAAAGGAGGAAAGACAAAATGAGCTGAGACTGATGTCAGGTAATTTCTTTCCGGAAAGTGAAAAGTTCCAGATTTGCTAAATTAAAAGTTTAACTAGCGGCTCTCAAACTAAAGAACTTTAAAAGGTTTAATAGACAGAAGTGCGCAGCAGCATAATAGAAGTAGTCAGAATTGCCCATTATGCTACGCACATTGCAGTAAAATTTATTGTATGAATATTCCCATAATTTTCCGCCTATACTGAAAAGTGATGGATTTTTTTGTAAATTGGTCCAATTGGTTGAACAGGTTGCGTTGCTTTGACGAGGCTTTAATTGAATGTCAAAACTTAAACCCAACTTACTTATGAACCATGATTGATGAGAATTTATTTTCCGCGTGCAGTGTATTACGCATATTCAGTGATCCAATCTATATAGTCCAAAAACCCGCAAAAGTGGTGAAAGTATTCACGGCGTTAAATAAATTTAGCGCAGCGGTGAAAGTTTCGAATTAATAATTCTTTGCTTACACTGTAATTTGAGAAGTAAAATTAAATTGGCTTTTCATAGTAAGTCGCATATTTAAACCTACACGTAGTGCGTAGCATTATCATTTTGTGCAATTGTTGGCCAATGGCGAAAATCAAAACTTTGTCACTATGTCCCGTATGTACATAATTATTAATGGTATAGCGCATTGTTGATTCTCCACCTGGTTAATATAGATTTTCCTTTGAGAAGAATTCTGATTTGTACTCATATCACGTGCAAGTGACGAAAAGAGGTTTCCTCCAGGGTGGAGATAGGCCCAAGATTTTATCACGACTCGTATTCCAAAGTAGGAAATATTTTCCTGTCTTTTTTTCCTTTGAAAGTATTCAAATTACAGATAAAATGTCCGTCGCCGAAGGAAGTTTTTCGGGTGGTGAAATCTAGTATTTTCTACGCAATACGTACATATTCACCGTAATTCCATATCCCAACATCAAATTAGACTCGTCACCATGCTGGAAATGCATGGCGGAGAAAGAATATGAATGACAAGGTATCAAGGAACATGTCGAAACATAATAAAAAAACGAGTGACGAAAACGGCAAGGAGCCAAAGTAGCAGCATCACTGTTTCCATTTACCCTACTGCTGCAGAGTCTCAACTCTCAATCCCTATTTTATGTGGCCCCTCGCTATACGCATATGAAAGTACACATGCCCTCACTATCAAAACCACACGCAGTCTCACTCACAGTGACAGCAAGTAATGGGGATTTCTCAGTTGAGGCGTTGAGTAAAATCTGTGTAGGATTGCAAAAAAGCAGTAAAAGTTGGTGAAAAACTGTCAAAGTCTGATTAAATTTGTTACCCTACATCACACATGCAGAAGAGGGCGACGACAGCAGTACGTCTACATCGACGGATTCTGCCCTAAAAGTCACATCGGTGACATTTTACCCTCAAGGCAATGGAAAACATCATCGAACCTCAAAATTCCAGTTGGTGGAAAGGGGCACACCAATCTTGCGTCGAGGTCAGACGTTTTTTATTGCCATAGCATTTGGCCAAGATCAAAATAAGCGACAATATGATTCAAATCGGGATGAGATCTGGCTTCGGCTTTCCTTTGGACCTCAATCATCTCCGATGAATGGAACACAGCAAGTTATCAAGGTTGATAAATTGCTTCATACTGATGAAAACAGGTGGGCTGCTAGAATCAAAGGGCACGATAAGAACGCCGTGACTATCGAGGTAACTATCATCTATCCACCCATCCATCCATCTACTTACTATCATTCCAACTACAATTTGCATACATTAAAGCTGCCAATACTTCTCACTACCTTCAAAGACATTCGTGTTGTGTCCTTGTGTTTGTGGCCGCCGTGTGTGTGCACCTTATTTCTATTTAGGGACTGATTGAACTCACATTTCCATCCTAGTGATTTCTAGGAAGTGCTGTATTTTCATATCCTTTGAGACAGTTTCAAATCATTTTCCTACCTGCTGCCAGCAACCATAACAATTTGAGGGCTTGTGTCCCACAGCAGCTAATCATTTCCCGAAGAGAGAAATTTAATGCAACACTATACACGAATCGATATCTGCCTTCAGCAGTGTCTACGTATTCCAGAATTTTGATTCCTTTTCTTTCTTCCAGAGTAAAGCAAAATTTTGTGTAATGCTCAGCTGAACTGATGTTTGCTGGAGTGAAACGCCGTCCTTTCTCGTATATTTTTTATCATCCGCTTGATGAATCTCCACTTGAATTCTTGTCACACTCATGAACAATTAATAATTTGATTAGCCCCTTCCCCACATTCTGATAATTGTGTCATTTCCTCTCTCTAATTCACTTATTGCATACTCCCAGCCCCACCACTTGAGTCAATCATCATCATCGCCTCCCTGCAAAAGATGTGAGCGGAATGAGAAAGTTTTTTGTCGAGCTTGGCTAGAAAGGAAAATGGAGGGTCGTGATTTTTCTCCCCCTTGCGACGACTCTTGCCTTTGCACTTCTTCCGCCATGCAAATTTCACATGACGCTACTGACTTACGATGTGTTACGTATCCACAAATACATACTATCGATATTCTGCACTGATTATATAATACATATTAGCCGTAATATGATGGTAGCAATCATTGCATTGTTTCATGCTTACATATTAAACTAATAAAACAACCAGGTACGTTCAAGCTCGGACAGTTGCGTTGGGATTTGGAAATGCAAAATAGAAACGAAAACTAAGGTCACCTACTCTGGAGCAGGAGAAAGCGGAAGTGAGGGCGGAGAAAATTCACCAAAGGCTCAAGTTTACGATGCCCCCGATGATATCTACCTTCTATTCAACCCGTGGGAGCCATGTAAGCTATTTTATTTTCCTTTCTCCTCCAGCCCACTTCGGGCAATCCACGTTTCAGAAATTAAATTTTAAAGTGATCACGCTCTGCGAGGAATTGGGTTAGTTGCGTCGCCGTCCAACAGATTTTACTCATCTTTACACTCACTTTTTAATGATGTTTATCTTTCTACTTTTGCCTTCGTTTGCTTAGCGGATGTCACATACATGAAAGATAAGGAGCTGCTGAACGAGTATGTTCTCGAGGAGATGGGCAAAATTTGGGTAGGTCCACACACGTCGACCAGAGGAAGAAGTTGGAGTTTCGGCCAGTTTGATGACTCGGTGCTTCCACTGATCATGATTCTCCTTGAAAAATCTGGCTTGGCATTGCAACAAAGAGGAAACCCCATTTTGGTCTCACGTGCTTTATCTAAAATGGTAAAAAGTTGTGTCGTCCAATTGTGTGTCGGACAATTTATAATCAATATAATGCTATTATTAATCGCAGACATGCTAAAAGAAATATGTACATAGCGTCGTAAAATATGCATATTACAGGTGAAATATTTGCTATAATTTGACTAGGTAAATTCTAACGATGACAAAGGAATTCTCGTGGGGAGATGGGATGGAAAATATAGCGATGGAACACCTCCTTCTGGATGGACCGGATCTGTCCCCATCATCGAGCAATACTTCCAGACAATGAAACCCGTGAAGTATGGGCAGTGTTGGGTATTTGCTGGCGTTCTAGGCACTGGTAATAATATTTGAATCGGACAATTTAAGCTATAATCGGGGTAGTCTGATAAGGATTAAAGTTTGTGGCCTGGCTGCCCTTGCACATTTAGTTAAAGGGGTCAAGAGGGGAACACTGCAGATGAGCAATTTCAATCTCATACGATGCTAGAACAGAAGAGAAACTGCACACTCCGGCCCTTTTATTGAGCAAGAAATAATAACCTTAAAATAAAAGAGAGGGAGAAAATCTTTCCATCTCGAACATGGTATAGAATTTTGCCCTGAGGAGGCTCAAGAGAAAGGGAAATTGAAGTCCCATGTGCATCTTTTGCTTGACTCGAGTATTGCTAGAATCATCAAGATCATTATCTCGCACCATCAAAATCTCGTACGCATCCATTTTGTACGCTGCCACTTTGACTTTTCCTTGATGCTATCCTAGTCATGAAAAAATATCCAGTAAACGAGCGACGAAAAAGAGTGGAGTCTGTTGGCCACTTTCTCCGATCGGGTGACATATTTTCAAAATAGTATTGTCAAATTTAATCTATTTATAAGTTCATTTCTTTTTTATTTTGCCAGTATCATTAGGCAACTTGCAGTTTTAAGCATGAAAAATCGTAGGGTATATAAATATATGTATGCACATGATGAGTGATTTTTCGCAATACATACTTGTCTATACATACCTCGTGTTTGTATGTATATCTAAATGTGAACAATTCTTTGTATCATGCATTTTGATACAAGTTCTTGATGAATATTTCACTCAGCTGCCACACCTGTATGATTTATTGAGGAAACTTTTGCCTGGGGAATATCATCTTGAGTTTTGAGGTTGGGAAACGACGACGCAACGTACATTCCGTGTGGATATACTTTGTTGCTTACGCAGCCATACCACTTCATCATCAGAGTAATCATAGCAATCATCACGGTTTTTGTTTTAGTGCAAGTTCCATTAATTTTCTGAGGGTACAGCAAAGTCTTGTCTGGGGAATGGAGTGATTTATTGCAATTGGTGCAACATTCATAAAGATGAGCAGTAATTTATTGCATTGTGGTGCCTGCTCAATTTACAATTATAAATTTCTCCTAATTTATTTGCAAGGAACGGTTAAACTGACCCAGTTTCTATCTCTGTTTTCAAGTTTGTAGGGCGTTGGGACTCCCTTGCAGGGTTGTTTCAAACTTGGTTTCAGCGCACGATTCTAACGGCTCTCTGACCATTGATCGATACTTTAACGATAAAAACGATGAAATTAACTATGATCCAAACAACCCACACGGAGGGAAAGACTCCATTTGGAATTTTCATGTTTGGAATGACGTCTTCATGTCACGTCGTGACCTACCAAAAGGATATGGAGGATGGCAGGCGATCGACTCTACCCCGCAAGAACAGTCTGATGGTAAGGCATTTCATGGTTGTGTTTGCAGTTTAACCCAAGATTTCAACACCTCACAAATTCGCTTGACATTATAAGAATTTAAAGCGGCTTTGTCGGAGGACATGGGTGTTTTGATAACGCAATTTATTCGAGCTTTCGATGCTAAACTTGCATCATCATCAGGATTTATGATAGGAATTGTTGCACTCAAAATATATACATGTGGTTGGGTCCTGAATAAAAGCTGTCGTAATTTATCGACAAGCTCTCTCAACGTAAAGTTTTACGGTTTATATTTTAAGCAAGCTCTGCGTATATGCATTTGTGTAGGCTTCACAATTCGGGAAAATTGTAAATAAAGCCGTAATCAAGGCGAGGTCACGATCAACGTTGTGGTCTAGATTAGAAATCATTGGTTATGTTGTGGCCAATATGATACGGCATTAGGTATGATTGCAATGATTGTGTTTTTCTTCAAAACCAACAAAGAAAGAATAAGGTTTGTTTGCCTTTCTCATTTGGCGTCTTTCTCCATCCTTTGGGCCCAGTCCATATTCTTCACACGTACACAATCCAACCAAAGTAGAAAAGATGGAACAAGAAAATATTTAGAAATTTTGAGCTCAGGGCAAATTGCTGGTTGAGCTCGACTCATTGTTGGGCGAATTTTGCTGGATGGAAGGAAATAGCTTTGTTATTTTCTTTGCTATTACCTGAAATCTACTTTTACTCAATCCCAAGGCCTCCGCACAACCAATCCTTTCTAGAAATGGCTACAAATTCTACATGAAAATAGTAGGAGTCTGAATTATGGTGAATTTGTTAACATTTCACTATGTTTGTTGAATCGAAAAGATAAATACTTTGTACATACAAATTTCGTGGAAACAAACAAATGCGACAGCCTTGATTGCAAATTGTGAAATACATACCTTCATATATCCAATGCAGATGTACATGTAGTAAACTGTCACAAGTTCAAATTTCAGGATAATAATTCCACTTGTGACATAAGTATTTATACATAAAAAAGTTAATAAAATGAGCAATTTTATTGCAACATCAATAGAACTGTTTGTGGCGATGTGGATAGATCCACGGATTTGAGCATTATGTTTGACTTTGAGTACTAGGAGAGTATAAACTAGTGTATCGTCACACAAATAAAAACTGACTGACTGATTGATTTTTTTTTAAAAAGGAATGTATCGGTGCGGGCCAGCTAGCCTAGAGGCAGTGAGGAAAGGAAAAGTTGGATATTCTTACGACGTCCCCTTTGTCCTTGCTGAAGTGAATGCAGGTAGTTTTGTAAAGATTCCCAGTTTCTAATTTGTCTTATGGAAACCTAAAAATGATTCAGATGTCGTCCGCTGGAGAGAAGACAAATCCAACGATTTTGGTTTTATTCGCATGGAGGCCAACAAATATCAGTAAAATCCTCTCACTTGTATTCACCATTCCCTTTCGTCTCTCTTAACGTTTTTGCTCCATTCTATCTGCACTTTCACCCACGTTTTTCCTCCCATTTCAATCTTAATCTAAATCGGTAGTTTGGACCTTATCTCGTTGAATGCTTTGCCTTTTGGAAAGTAAACGTCTACTTTCGTCCCTTCGTATGTATGCACATATATGCTCATCCATCTACTCGCTGCTACATATACACACTACGTGGAATGTATGTACTACAAACCGGTGGATTGTCTGTGCATGTGGGGGGAGACGGCGAGATAGCCTTGGGACATTGAATCGCTGTGGGCTTTCTTTTCTTTCTCAATAACCTTTTCTCATTCACAACCGAATATTGTTCACCACGTTACTTGCCGAAAGCGGCTTATCTCAGACGTTTTCGCACAAAAGAAACCAGGTCAGTGGATACATCTTTCTCAGCTTAGTGGTAAACACAGTGACTGAGTCCGATTTAAATCCTGAATTTCCTTTGGCTTACCCATAATGGAAGAGAGATTTTAAGCACTGTTGGCTGGTTGGCTGGTTGGTTGGTTAGCTATGTACACATACTCACTGACTGGAAAACATGTCTTTATATTGATGTCTTTATATTGATTATCCATTTGCCCTGTAAGGCATCAATTTATCCTAAAGACAAATGGGGGTTATTTCTTTCTTTTCAGTGTCGGTCGGCAAATTCTGACCAAGAAACCCAACGTGTTTGATTCGGAAGGAGATTCAGACAGATGGGATATCATTGAGGAATACAAACCAAAAGAAGGTAAATATACATTATCTCCTCCCTACATACCTGGATTTTTTATACACCAAAGTTATAGTCATGCTTAGAGTCGTTCACTCAACACTACTTCTACAATATATGTACATACACATACTTTGGCATCCCTCAAAATAAGGAGGTATCAGCCACATAAAGTTTCCTATCCACACGTTATCAAGCCAAAACAATGCCTAACACACACATATATCAAAGTACACAGAGTGTTTCTTTTCATTGAGCTCTAGGAGAAAGTTTATTCGCTCTCCAAAACCATTGCATGTTGTTGAGTTGGAGAACCTAGGAGTGTGTATTTGGTATCTAACAGCCTACTCCTTCGCACTGCTATCTTGTGTGTGGGGAAAATCCATCCAGAGTGAGTGGTCCTTTCGCAACCTTTTCCAATCACCTCCAGCGTAATGGGAGGCTAATCTTTCTAATACAATAAATTCCACAGGAGAGTCTATTAGTTTAATTAACCTGCAGAGAGAGAGAGAGAGAGAGAGAGCAAAAACTGGTTGATAGAGAACTGGGTCAGGGTAAGAAGGGGAAATTCGAAAAGGAAGTGGCGAACGAGATCTTGTGCGTAGGCGCCCCTCACATCTTTGCCCCACGACATCAGCAGCACTGGGTCAGTGCAGGTGAATGGGAGGCAGATGTAGAAAAAGTACAAAGAGAGGTAAAAGTTGATAATCTAACGCAATTCCATTCCTCGCACACCTCATTCATTTTAATGGGGACGAGAGTTGGAGAATACTGTAATTCGATTGGAATGGACTGGGGAATGATTTAGACGTGCCCATTTTTAGCACTTTTCGCTGAAAATTAGTTGAGAGTGGGAATCGATAAGGACTCATTAATTTGCGAGCAGGAACCACTTTCCTCTCATGATGGTAGTTTTAGCACCTTCATTACATGCACATTGAGGAATATTTAATCATACAAACTCTACTATTTACATTACATGCCAAGGGAAGGTCAGGTTGCTCATGCACGGGTTCAGCAAATGTTGAAGTATTTACAATGACAAAATCAAAGAAAGAGGTACATTTCTCCTCTTGTATGGATCCATAAATAATTTAGCAGAATATGGAATATTTAATTATTGTTGTGTTTGTACGCATGTATCAGAACGAGAGAAATATGAACAAGTCTTTTGCACAAAAGAGTGAATTCATTCACATGAATATTACGTTGAATTTGAAGAGAGGGGAATAAAAGTTGTGTGTGCATGGCAGGGACTCGGATGGAGCGACTCCAACTGGTGAACGCGGTGCAAGGTTCGAATCGTCAAGGGGCCGCTTCCTTCTTTGAGCTCAACCCAAAGGACAAGGACGTGGACTTCGATTTGATTGAACTGGAGCAGGTCCCGGTGGGCGAACCGTTCTCTCTCGTCGTGAAAATTACTGTACGTCAACCCCACCATGCTTTCACGAGCAAATAAATGTGTATAAAAATCCTATGCTACACATACTTATTCATGAAAGCTATTGCTACTACACGCTCAAAGATATCAAAACAAATTCTAATACTTGCGATTTAATCGAAGCAGACCAACTGTGAATGAATGAAGAAACATGCAGCTTCTTTATGCAACTTGAATGTATTTTGATGGCTATAAAACCTCCATTATTGCCATTTTCAGAATAAGTCAAAGGAAACAAGGACAGTCCAGGCGGACTTAACCGCTGAATCCATGTACTACACTGGAGTGAAAGGAAAGCTTGTGAAAAGAGCCGCAGGAAAGTTTGTAGTTCGACCTGATTCAAGTAAGTATTTACAAATATGCATATCGACTTTTGTCATAATTCAGTTGATTTTTTATGTCCCAAATATTTTAATTGTATCTAAACAAACGAATCGTGACAGTTTTTCATAAGCATGTTTTTTGCCTGTGGTGTAGATGAAGAGCTGAGAATGACAGTTCTGCCGGATGAGTATATGGGAAAGTTGGTGGAGTACGGGATAATGAAAATGTTTGCAATTTGTGCCGTGGACGAAACTAATCAAGCGTGGTCGGAAGAGGATGACTTTCAAGGCTGGCACTATTTTCCTTTGCAAATTAAATATTTATTTATGATTAGTTTTCTGGTTAATATAAATGTTCTTTTTGTCTTGCTTGTACAGTTGTCAAACCACCACTTAACATAAAAGTGAGTATGTAAATTATTGTAAATATGTGTGTGTGTGTTACATATATATTACTATATACTTTTGTAATACTACTCGTATATTTCGACAACTCAAATCTCGACTTTTTAGCGAAAGGACGTTTTTGGTTTAAAGTTGTTAACCAAGAGTTTGAAATCGGTATTTCAGGTGACGTCGAACTTGACTGCAGGAAAACCAGCTTATGCGACATTTAGTTTTATAAATCCTCTCAAACGAAACTTGACCAAATGTGTTATAAATTATGAAGGGCCATTTTTGGTACGATTTTCTGAGATCAACCTCAAGTAAGTTTTCTAATCCTAATTCTTTTTTGCTTTGGGTCACTTTTCATGCATTTTATTAGGTATTTATAATTGAGTTGTTTAGCAAAACCATTTTAAATTACAAACATTTCCTGTGTCTTGTCACCAATACAATTACCTTGTTTCAGGGATGTTGGGATTGGAGAGGAGTTGGAATACGTCCACCGATTTATTCCACGCTCCTCTGGAAGCCACCAGTTTATTGCTACATTCACGTCAAAAGAACTTATCGACATTGTGGGATCAATTGTGATTGAAGTTAATTGAGATTATTGAGTTGTTATACATAAAAATACATAGATGCATTGCACTTTACTTCCCAAAAATAAAGTAAAACTTATTTCACAATCAAATATTTCTGTCAATGATTTATATGCTATTTTGAAATTTTTAAACAAAACTTGTGTCAAAATTGCAATGTGTCCATACTCTGTACAGCTTGCAGCCTCTGGCGGAGGAGAAAGTTGTGCCAACTTTCTCTTTGTGTCCAACGCCCAAGCGATGTAGCTCTCGACAACCACTTTGTCTCTCTGGAATCATGCTTAGCTTAGGAATAGTGAATTTCATGTAATTTTAATGTTTGTCAGAACACATTAGGATAGAATTTACTCAATTTATCATTTAAAATTGATGCAAAAAAAATCGTACAAAATTTTCGTCAACAGCAAGGAACATAATTTATTGATTGCGACCTAGAACTGTTTTTAAACGACTTTACCCAGAACAAAAGACAGGTACATTTTGCGTGTCCGGTAACAACAATTGCAACTAGAAACCATTCTTACTAACAATATTGCATAATGATATAGCAATTATAAGAAGTGCTAGAATACTCTCTACATCTAGATATCCAGTATTGTGGAACTTATATTAACGTAAAGTAATTATTTGTATATATATTAACTGCGCCATTTTCATCTTTAAGTTTAATGTCCGTGCATCATTTATGCGCTTTAAGTAATTGTTCATTTTCTCCGCATTCCCATGTCTCTTAAAATACGCTTCGTAACACCGTGTAGGTATTTATGTAATATAATACTGCGCCTAAGGTAAAACTTTCACCAACTTAGAATAACCTGAAATACTGATGACAACAACCTAATTTCTGTAAATAATACAATAATGCGCCACACGCGTTCTATTTATGATGCTACATTCATCAACAGTAAATAAGTTTTAACTTTTTGCATATTCAAAGTTCTCTCTTTAATAAGTATTTGAATCATATCTTATTACTCAATGGTACATGTTTTTATTAGGTTCATCCTCAGCTTATTTAATTAAGTCTTCGTTGTGGATTTTGGGTGTAAGAAATTTTCTACGGTCCACCAGTAAAGCTATTTTTGTTAGAATTAAATCAAAACTTTTCTTTTTAAGAGTAGAACACTTTCAGAGGTTTGTAGTCGGGTGTACTAATAATAGCACATATACGAATAATTCTACATATGTACATATCTGTGTCGTGTGAATGAAATTGTTTCATGTACTTCTTGGAAAAATAATAATGATAACAAAGCTATTTTGTATAACGTGGTTTAATAAATAGATTGAAATAAAAATAAAAATGTGATTGTGTTACACAATTTGTGTACCTTTTTAGTACTCTGTGATAACAGGTCCACTTCCGTATAACACAAGAGTAGCACTCGTATTATATGATATACTCACACAACTGCAAGCCAATTATTACATGCCGCTTGGAATTTATTAGAAATTTTGTAACATTTAGCATTATTATTTGCTCTGCATACACCATTTGTCACCCGTTAACAATTGATAAATAACAATTCATAAATACTGGCAACACACGCGAAGGAATTGTGAACCTACGGCAGCCTCACGCACCGCAGCATCATGTATGCAATACTTATCTACCTGAAATTATTGTTGCTACCATTTTACTACTTGACTAGTAAAACATTTGGCTCAGATAGAAAACTGCTCCCTTTAATGCATTTATCCAAAAAGTGGATCTAAGTCGACCAGCAGTAAATGGCCGTGGATTTATTTATTGTGTTGTACATATGTAGATATTATGCAGATATACACTATAGTGTCGTGTTTCTCTGTCCTATCTGTTGTACTGCAAGCAAGCAGAAAAAGTGTCGCAGAGAGAAACCATTATTACGATTTATTGTAAAACTCAGAATCAGACTGTTCCTGTTTGCATGTTTAAAACTTGGTGACACACAACATCGGTAAAGATCCTTCTAAGTAGTTGTGGATAGTACTTGCATCTTAATTATAGTAGTGCATTGCTACATTACAAGTGTAATGCGTACAATGGTGGTTATCACAGTATGAATTTGATGCTAAATAACTAGTAATTAGTTAAGTAACGTCAGTGTTGGTTTGCACAGTCATCAGCATGTCCTCGTTGTGTTGTGTCTTCTGGTTCTTTGTCTCGGTGGCGATGTTCTGGACGCACGTTCCTTGTTCTAAAGTCTTGTCCACTTCGAGTGCAAATTTCTTTCTATTCTAAACTTTGGAAGTTTCAGCTCTTTGTGACATCTTTGGTCGACAGCGTTCGGCAGTGGAAGACCAGTAGTAGTTATGCCCAGATCTGAAATAGTTAACACTAATTATTAGCGCAAAATAATAATGTGGAACGAAACAGTTTCTCAATTTTTCGACTAATCGGGCCGAGTTATTTAGTTGGAATATATGTAGAAGAGAAAGTTTTTTACCCTCAATGTGGTGTCCCAGCTTGCTGTACTGTAATACAAAAAAACTACTATTAATAAATGCAAAATGGAATTTGTGCATGTAATAACTTGGAATTGCTCTCGGATAGAAATAGATTAGGTTGATAAGGGATGATTCTGCAATTATTCATTACATCTTTGATATTGAATTAATTTTCGTGCCTTACTCCTAATTACGGTTTGTGTTTAGAGTGCAGAATCATTTTTTTACGACAATTAACACTGACTCACTCCTGATTATAATTGTACACATGCCTTGTTTAGCCGACATTTATAGAAGACAATGCTATTATACATATTCCTAAAATACCCTGGGCATTTTACAGTACAAGTCTGCTCTTGCTATAGATTTTATAGATTTAGATGTATTTTTCTCCTGTTCTTGAGTATATTATGCATTTATGTCCTTACCAGAAGGCCGTGCCGTCGGGAGATACTTTGAGAGAAGAGACCTATGTACATAAGTCCAGAAAGAAGGATTAGAGTTAATGAAATAATACCGGATTATATTTAATGCACTGATTACTGACCCTGTTGTCGTGGCCGTAGAGTATTGATGTTCGGTGACACTTCAGACTATCCCACACATTCACCTAATTCATACGTAGAAGATTGTATTGTAATTATTAATTCCAAAGGATACACATGCAGGTCATACATAGATATATAAATGCATAGGTCAATAATGGGCATACCGTGTAGTCGCTGTAGCCGGCAAATAACAATCTGCCACTGTGGGAAAAGTCAACGGAGTTTACGCCAAATATTATTGATTCCTTTGAATACACAGCTATCTCTCGATCCGCCCGCAGGTCGTATAGCCGGCACTAAATATGCAAATACATACCAAGCCATTAATATTACCATTTTCGTAATCTTATTTACATGTAAAATCGAGGATTCAACTGTCAAATGCTGTCACTCTTCAAATGCGAATTTTTATCGTAGTTAGAGTAACCTAACCGGGAAAAGCTATTGTCCCCTTGTTGTCAATTAGTATGCCTGTTACATTTATTTGAAGAGTTGTACAGGCAATTAATGAGGGAAATATAGAGTTTACTAACAAGTTTTGATTTAGACTCGACTAGGCTCAGAATACTTTACAGTCAACTAAAGACAATGAAGAATTGAGCAGAGCTCAACAAAGCATATCCAATTTTACAATATTTTATCAAAAACGTATAATTAAAACTACGTGTACCGTGGCATCGTCTGACCCCGTTGCTATTGCATCTCCACTCGGATGAAACTTGACAGTATTTATGTCGCTTTCATGTCCGTCAAATGTCTGAACACATTGACCTAAAGTAATTTTAATAATCACATTTATATGTAATTCAAATTTCATAGAATAGTTTCACTGATAGTACTAACCAGTTCTCATATCCCATATTAGCGCCTTTCTATCGCAGCCCTGAAAATAAATCCATGAAATGATGAAAATTATCTACATATATATGGACTTAAAATGACTTTTGAGAAAATGAAACAGGCTAGAAAATTGTCCTACTAAATTTGTCGCCCTACACTATGCTTGTGTGTTAACAGAAAATTCACTTTCTGTGTAAGAAATACATGCAAAATTGTCTTTTCTTTTAATTCACAGACCATAATTAGTTGATTAGTTCACCAAGAAACATTAGCCCAATATCGAGACTAATGATGAGAGAATTTTCATGGAACAATGCTCGCTATATTTATTTTATGATATATTGCTTTATGTAAATACTTGAATGACATTTTATGATTGCTTCAGGTGTTGCAATATTGCATGACTTCGAAAGTCGCAATGAATCTGCATGTAAATATGAAACTTATGATAATTTTTTGGCTTACTGCTGAGACGAAAGTGTTTCCATTTTCTTGAGGAGCAAGGTCCAACGACATGACATCTCCACTGTGGCCTGCAAAAAATATTCCTTTATCAACATGTTTGCTATCGCATAAAAATAAATAAATTCAATAAATTGAAACAGCTGCAGCTTGTTACGTAAGCTCGGGTTGATCGAGTGACGCAAGAAGTGCATGTCACATGTAGCATCAAAGTCTTTCTATCGTGCATGTCAATGTAAGAAACTGGAAATTTGGAACAAGCAACATACCGTGAAAGCTTTGTAATCTCGAGCCGGACTCTACATCCCATAACGCACATGTGCTATCACCACTACCACTCAAAATCTGGAACCAAAAATCACAATTACGAAATGCAAAATACAATTAAACTTAAATTAGTATCAAAAAGTAGAGAATACATCATCTCACCCACCTGATAGTCAGAGTTAGGAAGGAATGTACAATAGGCAGTGTACTGAAAAAGAAAACCAACAAATAATTTGAAAGCTCACTTCATCACAGTCATTGAAGCATTGCGAGTAGTGAAAGTGATCATTTTTAACTATAGCAAAGTAGTTTCGAGTTTATTAAAGCGTAATTTTAACATGGTTATGTCTGAGTTCGGAAACATGCACAAGTTGCATGTAAAATATAGAGACAAATGTTCACATTCCAAAAGATTCTGAGATCCCATTCACAACTGCCTCAAGAAACTGGCATGTATCATAAATGAAAAGTGCACGTACAGAGGTATGAGTTCCCACAGGCTTTTTCCGCTGCGTGGAGTCATCTTCTACTAAAGGGTAGACGGTCACCTTGTTATCCAGACCACTAGATAAAATAAGTGGAAGAAACAAATGAAGGGTGAAAGCCATTACTTTTAAGACATGTTGCCTGCTATCCATATAAATGATAGTTGCTCCCACACAGAGATAAAAAACAGACCTAGTAAACTCAATCACACGCTCACTGATCACCCAGCATGGCGACCATTGCCAATGGCCAGCCGGGTGATGAATGTGAGTGAGAAAAGTACTAAAACTTAAGAGACGTAACGTTACGTAAACCAAGTTTGAAATTAATTACCCGCAAGCGATCACAGATCCCGATGGGCCTGGAAAAATTAATGTTTCTAATTACTTATTTGTACATGTGCCACCGACCCAAAAAATCAATGTTATGAGTCAAACACAATTATCCTTACAGTATCGGTGAGTATAAAAGTATAAATGCATGCTGGGTATATATTAATGTATTAAAGGACAAATATCTTACCATACGAGCAGGCCATGACCCAAGTGGTGGGCAAGGCGATGGCATGCTCTTTGTCTGTAATCAAAACCGTGCATAGATTAAATCAACCTGAAATTTAGTAATACTCTGACATACGAATATTTTGGTGATTAAAATTTGTTGTGGTTCAATAGTAAAAATAAATCTCGAGTTCACTTACTAGTTGTGAAAGCATCCCAAATTATTATCCGTCCGTCCTGTAATTATTGTTATGTTTATATATAATTATCATTCAATACACTTTCCTCCCAACCATAATAAAATAACTCGAGAAATGGAGTAGCTCAAATTCCACAGAGACTTGCCAGACTGCATTTTCATAGATATGTAGCAACACAGTTTGATACGTGAGTTGCTACACAGTCTCCTCTGAAGTACAAACATGGCTTTTCTCTTAACCAAATTACCCTTTTCAGACCAACTGCCCAGTTTTATTGACACTTTGCAAATAGTGGCAAGTGAGATGGGAGGAAATGGAATGAGAGTAATGAGACAAATATATAAATACGCGTCACATATAGGATTTAATCAACACGCGCACTACATTTACTTAATCAAGTTAAAACTACGGTTCTATAAATGGTCGGGAAACAAATCCGATTTAATGGAAACATTGGAATGTTTTAACAAAGGTTCATAAAAGTGAAGGAAAGAGCTCTCACCTGGGAAGCCGATACCAAATGCCGTTTATCCTGAGACCAATCTAGACACAGAACTTTCCCTTGGTGTCCTTTTAATATCCTTCTCGGCTTTATATTTAGTTGACCAACATTTTCTAGACGTTGAGCTACAGTAGACACTGAAAAGTTAATTAAATAAAACGTTTATTTCGTCAAGCAAATTAAATTATATTTCCCAAACTTTTTACAGCATTTCCACAAAGGTCGTAATACGTAGAGGCTTTAACCAACTGTAAATTCCTTACATAAGGTAATGCATACGCCCAATGCCTACATGTAAGTAATATGTGAAGACCAAGGAAAATTTAAGTGGTCCAGTAAAAATTAAATTTGTACTTAAATCTGTACTATTTCCAACATCTAATTGTGAGGTGCATAGTTTGAGTTCAGAAATATTTTCTTTAGTCATTTCGGGAAAGGTGAAACCGTTGAAGGTGCTTTATTTATGGTGAAATTACTTTTTAAATCATCTTATGCGTTCGCACCCCAACGTGCCTGACGTACATACGAATGCACGATACAGGGATTTATGGACGATGGAGATGGTCACATAAAATCACACGATATGTCCAAAGTAATGGATAACAATAGTCATCTCCCTTTGGCCCTGGGGGAATCCTCAGAAAATGTACATATCAGATCTCTGTCGTGAGGAGAGACAACCCGTCCGTGGCAGCCAATACTGACTGTATGCCTATGGGTCATGTCTGCTGTAGCCACACGGGATAAACGTAAGCGAGTTCATTTGTTTGAATTGGGACTGCGGGCAGTGAAAGTCGAATCGAATGATGACAAAGCTGCCTTGCCATCTCTCTCTCGCTCCTCTTTTCTCCCAGCTTTGGAATAGTTTGTAGTTGAGCTTGACTACTTGGACAGGAGCATCAGTTGGAGAGTGTAAATGCGAATTGGGTGGTATGATTTGTGAGTACGAATGACTCGGCACGAATTTGAATCCGATTGGAGTAAGTGCTGACGGACTTTCGTTTCACGCAACTCAAAGACTTTTGGGACTTTATCCTTAACTTTTTGATGATGACGACTTCATGGCTTCTATTTGAAGAGCAGCGCATTGTCTTCACCACCACCACCACCATTTCATTATTATCAGTGTTGGCGGTGGCATGGCGGTGGGAATGACGGAGCAGGGAATAAGAGGGCAAAACCAGGCTACAAGGAGGAGGAAAGTATTTATATGAGCGTCAATATTGCCAAAGAAGCCTATCTCTGATCTCACTCAGCCAAGTAGAACTATTTTCATCTCTCAACTTGGCCAAGGAGAAAGAGGGAGAAAGCAACATTACGGATTCTTTGTCCTCCATCATAATTCATAAAACTAACTTACCCAGTCAGTTACTTTATTGATTGTGGATAAATCAATGTGTCACAACTGGAGGGTCTTGACAATGTAGTGGTTAGAGTGGCAAGAAAACTTACTTGGCTCACTCACCGCATCTCTCTCTACATCTATTTACATAGTTCTTTCTTTCTCTTTTGCATATCGCGTACTTATGTATGAGCCAAAGTGTCGGGACACTTCATTATGGCAGAATATGGGCAGAATACATTCTTGATATTCCCCAAAACTAAAAAGATGGACTAAAAAGATCTTAGTTTGCAGTTTTTGACACACTAAAAGATACTGAATATGTAAAAATAATAATCCGTTCATTTTTATAACAGAAATTAGAACCCTAGAATTTCTTAACCTGCTTAATTCAAAGTTAACGTCATGCATAAATAAATGAATAAATAACCGGATTCTATGTTTGAAATATCTCTTTAGCTGAATTATTATTATTTGTCACTTGAATTCTGAAAAGATCTACAGTTTCTCTGATCAAATGTGAGCAAGTTGTCCCAAAATATATCAAATAGACAAAGACTCAAAGTACAATCAAAATGAAATTTTGTATTGATTTAATACAAGTCAACAATTGGCAATGATGTCAAGAATAAATGCTCTCAACTATTTATTTTATTTTATTAAATATATAAAACGTAATAAAATTTGCCCGGCTTTTGGGGGGAGGGGAATGAATGAGCAAACTACAGTATTGAGTAAACAATTTGAGGTTGCTGCGAGTAAGGTAAAAATAATCGGACCTAATATGAGCTTTTGCTTAATAGGCACATCCCTATTTCATGTGACTTCTATTTATTGACAAGATATGTCTCATACCAATGCTCGTATTTATTCTTAAACGTGTTGTTGACTCGTAATCTATTTTCGATTAAATATTTCATGAACACAGTTTGAAAAATAATAGAATGGGACCGGACTCTCAGTAGCAATAAATTGTGCAAATCTCACCACTATCATGAACCTTGTTTAACCGATCCAGTAAACAGGATAAGAAATGTCTAGAGTGGTAAGGAAAGCATAATGCACAGATGTATTTATGCACTTAATAGATATGTATAACTTGGTTTATCCAACGCCTATACCCAAGTGCTTTCATCCACTTGTTGTGATCCCTACGTATGTACGTATGGAAAACTCGAAATTATAATTCACCTTAATTTACTTAATATGTAATAATGTACGAGTCACACAAGGTTTGTGTGTCATCTGAATTTGTTAAAATATGACTACATAGTTTGTTGGAGAAAGCAGCATAGAGAAAGTCCGGTCAAAATCTATATGTATGCCTGCTAAATTAGCGTTGGTATTAGCTACGACATTTGTTAGACACATGACTCATTCTCTCATCCTTTGAGAACACACTAGACCACAATACGACAAGTGTCCAGAGAGAGACGTGCAATAGCATTCATAATTTATAATGAGCAAGAGACACTTACGGGCAACATCGTTAAGCTTTTGTCGTTCTTCTTCTAATTTGGCTTTGAGAGATTCAGCTAAAAGAAACAAGACAACATGTAGTTTACACGAGTAAAACATACAACTATGATGGAAACGATGAAAACTAGGTGTGTTTGACGTGTTAGTGCATGGGTTTTAAAGGAAAGCAATTAATACATACGTTAATGAGCAGTAATTTATTTTTGTTTCGTAAACCTGGTTACTAAATTTATTTAATCACAATAGAATCTAATAGCAATTGGTTTGGACACCTACCTTCTTTGGCAAGAGCTTCGATACTTTCAGCCTGTAGAAAATAAAGAGGATTGGAGTTTATAAAAGTACCCCACATATCCTGGGCATATTTTTAATCGTTATTCGACTTATTGTCGTAGAGTGAATGATGATGCATAACCTATGCACATATCATGTCATAAATTACTACTGTTAAGCTGACTTACCGGTGTGTCAATTTGCAAGCTAAGGTCAGCACTCATGACACCAGCAGATGCGTTGTAATGTTGGTTTTGGTGGTTGCTCCTGCTAAAGGTTTCGTTGTTGTTGTGATTATCACAACTTGAAAAGCTCTCACTGTGTATGATCTGCAGGGTGACTGCTGGTTCTCCGAAATTAATCGGAAACAGAGGAACTTTGAAATAAATTATTTCTTTACAATATTTGAAGAGGGGAACGGAGTCCGCAGTTGGCAATGGAATTAATGCGAAGCGAGATCACCATTGGAGGGTGCAGATTGATTTATATTCTGTCCCAATGGTTTCATTCCCATCACACAGAGTTTGATGATTCGAAACAGTAACCTCTCAAAACATGGTCATCCCCATGCTTGGTTCCGCCTGATCGCCCCAACATAACTCGTATAGGTTATCAGGTCCTGGTTCAACTGCTGAATATCATATTGTTCCAGACACAGGATTTTTATTGACACACTGGGATCTTCAAACTTGAAGCAGCATTTCATTCAGGAAAAAGTTTCCTTCAAGTATATGCACGTGCTTAAGTAGCAATGAACACAGGAAAAAGTTGTCGAGTGTAGCGTTTTGATTTCTTTTGGTGCTTAAACTGTCTTATATATACACATGATGTTTGATATTGATTCACCAACAACGTGCAATACTTGGCCAACGCTCAGATCGCTTTCTTTTAGATTCGCAGTGTCCCAAAATAATACTTGACTTGTAAATGTCGAGTGCTGCTTATGATCTAACACACACACACCCTCGTAACCGAACCCGTGTACATTCGGATTCATTCATTTCGAATGATAAAAATTGCTCAATTATGCAGCGTACGAACCAAAGAAAAAATACAACTCTCTTGAACTTGGTTGTTGTTTGAACCAACAAAAGGATGAAATATTTTTTTATTTTTACACAGGTGACTCCCATACAAGTAATAGTAATTGATTTCTCCTTCAGACTTTCCTTTTGGTCAGCGACATGAAAGCATGCACTCTCCTCCCCCACACCGTTTATGGCTTAGACCTTCCCAAATCCAAAGGTTGCAATTAAACCCTCGTGAAATAATTGCAATTGCGGTTGGTGAGATGAAATCGAGTGGTTAAATGTATGATAGTGTGGAAAAATGCTCTTGTTTCAGCGAGGAATTGGTTCACCGTGACTATTTCAATTAGGGGAGTTTTGGGAGTTTTGGTCAGGATGACTTTGGCCGATTGCGAATTGTTCCACCAACTATTGTATCCCGTTGATAGGAGCAAATTGGAAAAGGTGGAAGGCAGCAGGGATATACATACGACGACGACGACGGATGGAAACTCGGGCGTGGACTCCCGATCGATCGCGACTTAGACCGCGCCGTGTGTGAGGAGAGCTGGTAAGTTAGAGAGAGAGAAAGAGGATGTTGTGGTCCCAGAATTCTGCTGGCAGAACAGGAGAGAAGAACTACCACCACGTAGAATGCATACTATGTACTACATACTGGTGCAGTAATAATAGCAATATATATGTACCACCTTATCTCAAATATCACTTCCTCCTCTCTTCCTCCCACTTCGTGGTTCATCTAGTGGCTCCGAAAACGAAAAATTTATAGTATTTCTCGTGCAGGAGGCTTATTTACGATTTGACATTGATTGCACAACAAATTTATGATAAATATGATGGTTCATTAATGAGTGTCTCATGACTTTGTCTTGGATGATGACAGGCGACGGATTCACATAACTTGATATAGCCCAAGTTTGTAAGAGAATGAACTATCCAATTAAATCATATGGACGTCTTATATTTGCATGTGCTCTGATTGTCTGGCTGTCTGGCAGCCGAGCCGGGAGTTTATATCATATGTGTACACAAACAAATGTCCTCACACACCGAACGGATTCGGGACAAATTTGGGGGTACAGGAGCAGTGCCTGGTTGCTTGTACTCATATCTATGGACTTCGTACTACGGGACAGATCGACTTTCTATATGATTTTCTTTCATGTTTGGGTTCCATCGTTGGATTTACATTCTGTGGGCAAGCAAAATGATCACAACACATAATTTAAGTAGGTGAAAGTCAGTAGAACTATGGAGTAGAACAATCCTGCATCGAATGCTCAACTTTTGTTTGCATTTGCACTTATTTTTCAAAAGGCATATTTGATCAGAATGATCATTAGTTTTAATTCTCATCATTATGCATTCTTGGGTTTATTTTGCAGCTTGATTTTGCTTTCACTCTGCACAGTTGGGTAGTTTTGTTAGACCTTCCCAAATCGAATATGGAAATCTGAGATATTATTTTATCTATAAGTATAATACAGAAAAGTAATAACAATAATAGAACTATAAATCTCAGACATCCCCAAATGCTTCTTTTGCCCAAATTTGAGATAATCCATTCCACATGCAAACTTTCTGCCACGATTAATGATCATATTTTCGTAACAAACTCATCATTACAGCCAATCACCAACTGTTGAAATACATTGCACTATAATTTTGGCCGTACATACTTCATCACAGCTATTAAATTGTCATTATACTACAATGCATATGTAGTTAGTATAAGCATAATTTCCACACAAATTCACAATTGGTCTGAAATTCGACAATATTGTGCAAATAGTAATATCGCTCGTATGTATAAAACGCTTGGAGATTATGGTCTGAAAATCATATCAAGATTTTACTCAATCGTAGTATTTGAGGAGAAGCAGTCAGAATGGAGATTGATTGATCCCACAAAAAATAACAAAAGAATCATCCTCTTCTCGCTCGCTGATGCTGCTTATCGAATCTGCAGATGCCTCTTTCACCAAGAATTTAATCTCATTTTTACTCCTTCTCTGTCTCTCCTTTCTCTCTCCCTTGCCCGTAACCCAGCCAAGTTTTGTGGGCCGTCTGGTGCATGATCAAAACTGAAAAAAGTGGATGGATGAGTTGAACCCTGCTCAATTCTCAATACACGGCATGTACATCTCATTGTAATTCAGGAGAGGAAACAGACCAACAGACAGGGACACGACTTTCTCTGAAGTGGGACTCGAGAATGTGAAAGCCCAACGGCAAACCCGACCGACCCACAGCAAGGGAAAGTCGATTCGAAAATACTAATGCCAATACCACCCACGAGGGATATGATCAAAAACCTTGCAACACACCCAACTTCTGTTCATCCATATACATACATATGTATGGGTATATATCGATGTACACTAGAATATTTAGCTTCTGACCAGTAGAACAACAATGCAGGTTAATCAGCCACAACAGGAAATAAATATTTAAAGCACCAATCTTCTTAATTATCAATATAGTTTAAATTTCGACCTATGTCTATTCTGATATTCTATTTTAAACGAAAATGAAAATTCAATTGAGTTTGAAATCATATTTTCATAACGTCATTCAGCAGAAAAATCGATTTCTTTGCAAGTAAAATAAAGAAATAATGGTTTCGGGAGATAATTAAAAATTACACTTTGAATACCACGCCTGGTACAGAGAGATGACGGTGATATGTGTCATATATTTTCTGAAATCACTGAATGCAGCTTACATATTTCACGCGCGTTAAATAATTTACTGATATGCTTATTTGGTACATGGCAATACGTTAACATTGCAATGTAAACATTCTTCAAAGATCCACGAAGGGATATTATGCATATAATTAAGTTATAATTCCTCATGGTTAAATTTTTCGCACATAATTGCGAAGTAAATAAGAGAAGCCTTAAACTCAAATGATTTGAGACACGAAGATTTGAGACACGAAGATTTGAGACACATGTATTTATGTTCCATGTATCTATGTTCCATGTTCCATGGTCGGATTTAAGGTGTAGTCCCATTCCACGTAAGAAGTTTCAAAATTTGGGAAAACCCAAGCTACATTTTGGAGTAAATACATAATACATACATGAAAATTTATTCCCAACAATTATAATTTCTACTTATTTTTTTAATACGGACAAATATGTATGTATTTATGTCAATACAGTTGCTGTGTTAATAAAATCTTGAAAATTGTCTTCTGAAATACTGACAAGTATGTACATTCGTGTGACAAAAATTAATAATCAGTGGAAACTTACAGATTATCCAATCCATTACTCGAGGCGTGCCTGTTGAATTAGTCATGTATAAGTATTGACGTATTTCGGAACTTCGTTTCGATCAACGGGTTTCAAGAATGGCTAGAAAGATGATACAAGAAAGGTTTCAGATTTATAAAGAATATGAAAATAAAAATAAAATATTACCCAAGCAGCACTATGACTCCGAACTTGATTTAAGATGGATTTGTACACCATTTGTAAACCGGCATTACTTTGTATATGGGCAAAAGTCTCTTTTCTCTTCTCTTGCTGGCAGCACGATTCAGTTGTCAGTATTCTGGCTTACATGAATTTTACCAGTGTGCAAGGAGAAGCAGGAGAAAGATAAACATGTACAATTTATAAACGATTGTAATCGCCTTGAATTGTGCTTTATTGTGCCACTTTATCGCCTCTCCATCATAAAAAATTCCCTCGAGGTTGAATATAAATAAATGGATGCAACAAACTCAATCTACATTACATTTATCTTATTTTCTCGTACACCAATTTATTTATAAGCAACTCCCAAAGTGTTGATAGCAGGATTATTTCGGAAAATAAGCTTCAAATATTTTAAGAAACAATGTACGCTAAAAATTTCAAATTAAGTCTATGTAACTTACTTCATTTTCAAGTGTGTAGCTACCGAATAAATGAGCAGAACATAAGATGAGACAAACCAAGAAAAACGAATATTTTAGATAATAATTTTTCCTGAGACTTATCCTACGGCTGGAATTGTCGTAGTTGGGCGGGGCGTGGTCGTGGAAACAAGTGGCGTTGATGATGTTGGACAAGTCAACAAATTACGACAAATTGCAATACTACCAAACCAGCATTTGCACATTTGGCAATTAACCTGTATCATTGTGAATGGTTGGCAACCGGAAACTTGTGTTAATGACGGAAGTCCAACCATGAAATTGTCTGCAATATTCATGAATTTTTCAACCATTTACTAATTAGCTAATAAAGGCATAATTGATCTTACTTCCTCCTCCCCCGAAAAAGGCTTTAGATTCAGATGACATTACAAATAATGCAAAGCATACAATAACGATGCGAAAAATCATAATTTTGTAACGTTGATGTGGCGTCAGTCCTGTAAATGATAAAGTTTAATTAAAATAATAATAATATGCCTCAGAGTTAAATAAACTCATTAAAATCAGGCAATGGGAAATTTAGGGTTCCCCAACTTTAGCAGAGATGGGCAGCAATGGTCCAAAGTAGGAAAATGTACATACCAATCGCAAATGGGGAAAGTCGTAAGTAGTTTCTTGTTTTCGTTTGACTTATTAACGAGTTAATCACTTTGTCTTTGATCGGGCATAACTCAGATTGCAATAGAATAGGAATGTGCAGTATGCGTAGTATTTATAAAGCTCCTGGTGCGAATGAAATATAATCATATTCAACTTATAATGTCTTCCCGGAGAGAATTTCAAGGTATGTGCATGTATGAATTAAGTTGGTTGAATTAGCCCTGAACAGATCTCGTTGAAATTCATGTCTATGTGATCCATGAAAATCGTACAGATGACAGAGGCTAGGCGAGCTGCATAGAACGACTTTTAATGTCTTATTTATTATGCTTCACTAGATTGGGAGAATAGTTTGATTGATTAATTGATTAATTGTTATCAATCTCTTAAATTTGTGCCACCACCCCAGTACGACGTAAGTATTACGGCAGAAACATTTTTTGATTCTAATTATACCTGGAGCTGCACATAACCTTTGACCTCTGACAGTGCAATATAATCAACTCTAGTGCTTTTCCGGGGTGGCTCACAGAAACTTCATACGAAATAGACGGTTGAACAATTTCATATAAAACCCCTTTCTCAGAAGTACCTCGATCATTTGCTGTAGGTATGTTTATGTAAAGATCAGTAATTGACGAGGATGATTGACAATAACTGACATTTCCTCCTTAATTCATCAGCATACTACGTTGCTTGGACTGGAATCAGTTTTCTTGAAGTTATTTAATAAGATTCAATTTTGCATAATTGAAAATATTGTTGTCGATTCTGCATGTTGAGTAGTTTTTGAACTCATAAGTTTAGCGTAATAAATATTGTTCATGGAAAAGTATGGTGCCAACGGTTTCAAGAAGCACACAATTGTACCTCACAATCAAAACTATCAGTAATGAGTTTTTGTTCGGGTTCCCATGGATGACTGTACTTTAAATAACCCAACATTTCGCAATTCAACTGACTCCTTCTCCAAGCATGTGAATTGTTTGCAAAATATCATTACAGATCAACAAATATTAAGTTTACCTTGGAATCCTTTCAAGACTTGACTTGACGCATGAAAATGGTTGTTGTGGTCCATTCTAAGCAGTTCTATTCACTCTTTAAATTCTAAATATGGAAAATTGCCAATTCAACATTATGTTATGACACGTTTGGGTATCCATACAATTGGAAATATGGTTGGGAAGTGACAGAATATTGAATTTAAACTAATGTAAGAGAATTTTTAAGGCTACTCAGTTTTCATAGAAGCGAGTAGGTGGCCCTTTGTAAGTCAATGTCAGACAGACGCATAATTGATTCTTTAAATTGGTACGTAAATAGATTTCAGGGTCACAATTACTGTTTTTCGTAGGTGACGATCAATAAAATGACATAAAAAACATACTTTTATACGTATTTACATACATATGTATGACAAAGACTAAAAGATCGTAACCAATTATATTGTATGTATTACGAAGTGTAGAAGAAGCGATTTTTGCAACTTGACTTCTGCATTTACAATTGTTTAAACATAATTACTTAAAGTTTGAGACAGATATGTCGTTATCTGTTCTGGAGTTAATTGCAAACAACGTGAAAAAGAAAAGTATTTTATTTTTATTTTATTTATTTTCCTCTTCAATCGTAATATATCATTTTATAATGTGTATGTTTATTATTATTATTATTATTGATAGCAACCGTTTTGTAATTGTATTAAATATTTAAATGTCATTATCGTCATCTTACTCTAATTAGTCAACTATTGAATAATATCTCATAGAATAACCAAATATCACCAGCTAGTTGTAAACATTAGTAAATTGAATATTGAAATATTATCGTAAACGTGAACTCCCTACGGCAGGTATCTAACAGTTATAGAATATTGTATGCATCTCAAATACTTCGACACGAAGTAATCAACGATAATCTTTGTAATAAAACATGATAAATTCTACTGAAAAAGTAACTTACTTCTCATTATTACGTACTCTACCGCTATCCATCTTGCTAGTATAACCGTATGGATAAGTATTTAGTCTAAATATGTAATTATCGCGGTGTCATAAGAGTAATGATCATGCAATCGTCTATATAGATTTCTTGATGTCGTTTTCTTCTAGTTTATCCATCTCATATAGACAACATGGTACAAATAAATTCTTGTAATAATATCGACAATATCCACTTTTGTAGGTTGCGACGCGGATACAGATTTGGAGTTGGAAACTTATTTCAACAATCATCTAAAATCGTCACAATAGAAGAAGACAGATGACGACGACGACGATAGCGCTACTTGATTCAACTTCCGGGACAACGGAGCAATAACATTTCAAAACAGATACGACTCGTCTAGTAAATAGTTGATGATGAATGGACCAGTAATAGTAGTACATACATATTTACATATGCACAGATATTTATATACACAGTAAACGTTCTAAAAGATACATGATTATAAACTCTGTTTTTTTCTACGTAGATAAATAATTGTAATGTGTAGTAGAGCACTTAACGTTTTGGTTTAATAGATTGCATTTGTTTTGAAGCTACACCTTACATTTAAGGTAGTACAGACATCTAAATATGTACATGTTTATTTATATAGTAACGACAAGTCTACATTTCAGTTGGTATAGGGATAATTACACAAGTATTAATTGTAGTAATGTGCTTATTATACGATAATATATAATATTGACAGTGTAGCTAAATATGTATAAACTGAGTCATCGTGCATAGTTATGATTACTACAGCAAAAACTGGTGGCGTATGTGGTATTAGTCTTACTTATTATTATTACTCATTGTTTGGGCGACGCATTACCGACCTCCCTTATTTGCTTATGGCTACAGATTTCAGATAATTTTAGTAAGGAAGCTGCTTCATGTTGTATCGTGTGTTTCTTGAAGATTTTAGAAATAGTTGTCTGACGAGACAGGTTTTTCAGAAAACTCAAAATAGATAGTTTGGCAATTGGCAGCATCGATGGATGAATGAATCCTGACGACGAAAATTTGTATATGTAAATATGTACATACACTCAACAGCAAAACACATGGTTTAATTTGAAGGTACTTGAAAATGTCATTTTGAATATCAGCCGAATGAGACAGTAATGCTTTTTAAGTGTAAAATAGTTGTCGACAGTGAAACTTAAAACACGCTAATCAAATCTTTTTAAAGAGTGAAAAGAGGATACTGGTGAATCTTATGTTATTGAGTCAATGGAAGAATTAGGCCAAAAAGTGAACCTCTCCTTGTCACGCGAGTTCGTTGATTGTTCAGTATTCATCCGTCGATATCCCATCTTATACAAGTACATTAATTAGCCTAACATTTACTAACACAAGTGTGCATAGCGCCTCAGATTCTTACATAACGCACCACTGCTAAGGAAATTCAATACTAAATTAAAAGGACTGTTGGTTTTTTTGCTAAGAAAAGAAACATCCCAAAATAACTTTCTTCGACCCAACAAACGAGCGTCTACAGATGTAAATCAACTGGCAGTTAAGCATTCAAACAATTCGAATTTGGTTTAAATTAAATGGCATTAATCATTTGAAATGAAATTTGTAGGATGTGGATGCAAGAAAATAACTGAAGCACAGTCAAAATTATTTTGTCTCGCAAGTACTTAATCATGATCAATACTAGTTAAAAATCAAAGCTATGAACTGAAGGCTGGGTACAAAAATAAAGAATTGAAAGCAACTACGACGAGATCACAATTTTATTTGAGTTTCTATACAATGTTATTTATTTTTGTATAATTGATGTAATTCAGTTTATTTGTGAACAACTGAACAAAATTCATATCAAATAAAAAACTTGACTAGAGGCCTTCAATAGTACCAAGATTAATGAAATTTCGTTGAGAATAAGTGCTCCCACACACACACACGCACACTTATATTATCGGTTTCGAGTAATGTTCATGATTTGCTAAATTGTATCAACTAATTGCATAAGATACAAAACACTGATGTGAGAATCAATGTTTTCTGGCAGAATCGTTACTACCGCTATAATCATATTTAATCCCCTTCTTGTCGTCATCATTAACGAGAGGAAAGAGGTACATATATTGCAGTTTTGTCTTATAATATTACCTTAGCAGCCAACTTAAATGCATTTTCGGTATTTTATTTTCCATAATGTGAACTTAATCTAAGAAACATTCATGTAACTTTTGTGTCTCAACCATTCTTTCACACGACATCTTAACGAACTGAGCATAATCAGAACTAATTTTACTTTGGATGTCAAGATCAGGTAAGAAAAACAATCAAGCTCGCTTTCTGATATCGAGGCAAACTTGACATTTCTTTTTTTTTACAAAGTGTTCATTCTTGAGACAATCGGCTTGATGGCTGTTTAATTCTTTAGGTTTAATATGCAGATTTACAGGCAAGCGTTACAGTAGATGAGAGGGGGTTTGAACACGAACAGTAAAAAACATTCTGCATAATGACACAAGTGTACAGTGAGTGGAGGTTTATAATAAAGTGAAAAATAGTAGTTTTTCGGGACAAGGTAAAAACCTATAGAGTGAGAATCAACAAGATGCTTTGGTAAGAATCAGTCCATTGAAACATTTCTAATGTGCTGCAAGAGCATATTTAGTTCACAAATGTTAGGGAATCCTAAATGGCAGAATGAATAAGCAAATAAATGTATATTTACATACATATGCTGGAGTTTCACATAGTACAATTAAAATGAAGGTGAAAGAATGTGAGAAAGTTCAGGAAATGAATAATATCATGGCTTCAGTACAGTTAACTCATGACTCAGGCAGCAATACAAAATTAATACAAATCTTCACACGGTGGCAACAACTGTCTCACTTTCACTCGAAACCCAAGAGAAAAAATCTTGTTTTGTAGTAAATCCGAACTTGATTAATATCCAACTATTATAAATATATGCATAGTGTACCCTACATCCGTGTACTATTATCTAGTCTAGCTTGTCTTTTTGATTCTATTTTATATGTAACGGTAGAGTAAGTCAAATGTGAGGTTGCTGCTGGGGTCGGAATGCGCCCAACAACAATGGTAACAACGTGATATTATTTTATAGTTCTAAACTAACAGGAGTGCATCAAGTGTAAATTGTTCAAGTACATTAATGTTTTTTTGCGTATGACATGACAGTGAGACTCTGCAAGGTCGTCAATGGTGTGAGGGAGTAACTTTCTTTTCTACGAGTGCTATTATTATAGTTTCTTTTCTTTTGTGCAAGCCAGTAGTGTCTAATAGTTGAGAGGAAACATGAATATTGATTCAACAGTGGAGTCGGTAGGCAAAAGGTTAAAGAGTAGTGAAAGGGAGTACTTTAAATACAACATGAAATGTATGTGTGACAGGAGAATAAATTGAAGCTTATTAGTCTATGGTACGCTTTCTCTGCTCATGATTGAAAATCGGCTACGAGGAAACAATCGTATAAATCATCCCACAACGGAAGAGTATGTATGTATATATGTAGTTCGCTTGTGCAACTCATCTCACCAACAAGAACGAAGTATAGTTTGTCTGAATATTTACCATACGACGTTTATCGTCAGAACAATAAGGTTAGTCAAGATGAGAACAGATCAACTCGCGACACTTTGTTCCATACTATGTGCTTCATTTTTTACATACAAATCGCAATTTGCCGATTTTAAAGTTAGAGTGATTAGTTATTTACATAAACGAGTTGAATCGACAATATCTTCATCCAATTCCATTGACAACAGATTTTTGTTCGTTCGATAGTGTATGCAGTGTTGTCCGCCGGCAGAGTTATTATAGTAGTAGGGTTGACGATTTGGTTCGAATGATTACTGGTTAAGTATTTTATAGCTTCGAACTCGTTGTCGCTAGTCTGAGTTTATTAAATGTAATTAGATGATTGACCTTTGGTTTGCAATGAAACAAGTTACCCCACTAGCATCTCTTGGAATATTATTTATATATATACACATATATATATATATATATTATATATATATATACCACTACACTTAATGTGTTACGTTTGTCACTTTCAAAGTTCAGAAATTGAACACGATCAAACTCCGGCCAGCAGGATATATTTTGGTTAAAGAGGACAGAAGTCAAAATCACGCAAGGAACAAAATCCTGTAACGACGTGTCGTCCAGTCGTGGTGCGACCCTCCCTCGTTAAAAAACTTTAATAATACAATTGAGACAGTCTCAATGAGACTCACAAGAAGGAAACAATACTGACTTTCATAACAAAGTAGATTATATGGCATGAACGGATACAAAGTATACTTTTCACGAATAGTAGTCATTTTCACACTCAAATCTTGAATTCAACATGCGATGTGTGTGTGTGTATATATATATTATATTTATATATGAAGAAGTTCATGAACAAGGCAAGACGAGGATCCAGTTCATCGATCACTCCAAGTAGACGTTCAACGTTCTGCTTCTTTTTCACTGTTGATTTAATATGAGAGACAAATTATCATGTCTCTTGATACAACTGCTGATTCCTGTTGTCCAATGTAACATCATTAAAATATTTAGTAGAATAATAATGGGTTAATCCTCTTCATGAAAAAATGCAGCCATGGTTTAGTCATTTGAATTTGAGTTGTTCCTGAAAGTAATAGAGATACCGATTAAGTAGGCTCATGGTAACGGGGACTTGTAGGAAATTGTGAAAAAATCAGTTAACTCAACATTCGCATCGGTTAAGCAGAGCTATTGTTGTTGTTAGAGGTGGTGGTATTACATCTCATGGGTAAAATCTAACAGCTACTATGTGAGCAACAACACAGGGCTCACCCAAGGCAACTACGCTATATTAAAGATAGATACTACAATGCAAGATACAACTAAAGTACTGAGAGGAGAGAAAGCTCGAGTAGTAAAGAAGTTCGTAAACGCAGTCAGCAAGAGCACTAGAACCCCTTGGGGTTTTCTAAGTCGTCTTTTAAAGGTAGTATGGGTAGAGGAGTGTACAACAAAATGAGCATTCCAGCAACAACGCCTACACGCTAGCCGAGTTATGTCATCTCTGTGCTTTCACCCAAATCTAAAGTCTAATTTTTTGCTAATATATGTAATAGATTCATTAGTTTGCGCTAAACGACATTCAAAGTTTACTTTGCAATCTACTGCTGCAAACATTCTCGTTGGGGATAACGAGTAGCGGTTTTTTTTCTACAGAGAGGAGAAAGAATTAAATAAACAGTTGAAAATCTAAAAAAGGATCTTCTAACCACAGTTTACATACCTAAACTTTTAACCTACGGTCGTGTTGAGCAACAAGAGGGCAAATTTTCGAAATCTTACTGATCCGGGCTCCCGTCTGTGTCGCTCTCTTCTAATTCCGCTTTACTTTTACGCTTTTCATAGATCAGAATTATAGCGCATAGGATTATTACTTCTCCGCATATTCCGAGGAATGGCTGCAAAGAAAGCAAGTAAATGGAGCAATGATAATGTAGAACATTATGAAGAATGTTGTATCATAGCAGAGAATAATGATAAATAATTGTAAATAAATTTCAGCACTTACCCAGAGGGCTCCCAGCTTATCTGTTATGCATAAAAATAATTCAAAATCTTAATACCGCATTTCAGTAGCATAAGTCATACTGTAATACAAATTCGTCCCGGGTCTTTAAACCCCAGTCCAAGGAACAACAGCTAACTGTTTTTTATCTGCTAAACACCCGCCGACACTATTTGTGAGCATTAAACTCTATAGATAAATCTGAACGGATCAGGTTAAGTTGTACTGTATTGCCAAGAAATGCAATTGAATGTCAGACTCGAAATTTTAAATGTTTCATATGAATGGAGTAACAATAATGCATAGCATAACTTTTACACATGGATTGATCCAGAAAGTACATATTTAGTTACTGCAGAATGACAAAGCCTTTACTTGTTGGCTCACGGTACCTGTTCGGTCAGTCCAAACTCTAATCGATTTCTATTTTTCTGGGCAAAGACGTCATTTCCCTTGTTTTTTTGTGTATGTAACTAGCGAGTTTAAACTGTTGGACCTTTTTAAATGCAGAGCTGTGGACATTGGGACAGCAAATTCTTCGCTTACTTCGTAAATAATTAAGTAAGGCTATACATAAATGAAACAATCCACCGATTCTAAAAAAATGAAGCCAAAGTCTGTAGTTTGATTTCCAATGAAATGCAAAATAAATTGTTCCTACTCCAATTATGATGACTTTAATAATGGAGCGAATTAATAGGGTTCATAATTTTTCGTCAAATAAATAAAGGAAGGAAGGAAAATCCTGGAAGCTTTACCTTTAACTCGCACGTAGTATGTAAATTCGACGGATTTATCCGGATCTTTCTTTTCAAGGGATGGGCCTGCATACTGATCCGACTGATACTTGTCATCTCGTCTCACCAGAGAACACGTATAAAAGCCACGGTGATCTCGTTCTGCCATTGTGATGTTGTATCCACTACGGTACGGTTTGCCCTTTTCGGTCTCTTCAACTCGGCCAATCTTAATAATGTCTTCAGGTCCGGCAAACTTGTAAGGATTCCAGTCCTCCCCATCTGTGCATCAAATTGAATTGAACCGATTAAGATTTTTTTATCAGTTTATTTTGTTCCCAGCATCTCTAAAGAACATGCTGGTCTCCAAAGAATATTACCAATAACTAAGATGCATATTTACATAGTTGACCTTTGATATTCATACCTTTTGTCCACTTTAATTCCACCTTTGGATTACTACCTTCAAAGTCTGAACTATTAACACCATGAATATCGCAATAAATTTGTAGCTTTTCTCCTTCCGTCACCGTCAAACTCATAACTCCGCGGTGGTCGAATGTTCTGGTGGCAGATACTCGCTCTGAAATTAGTTCGAAATAATCATAAATTGGCATAGCAGATGAGGAAAGAATAAATACACACTCTCGTATGCAATCTATGCACTTTCTTTCTTATTATATGTTCATATATAATATTATAACTTGTGATTCCGTAGGTAATTTGAGGAAAAACTTCCTTACCGGCCACCTCGACTTCCTTCTTTCCCTCATTATTTCCTCTATTGGCCTTGCACATATATTTACGGAAGTCCTTAACAGTCCCAAGTGTGTCGTTGTCTTCTTTTCGAACTCGCTTGATTTCAAGTTTGATAATGACAGAATCGCTTTTAACATCTCGATTCACTTTACAGTGCACGGGGGGCTTCTTTCTATCCGACAACTCGACATCCGGGACACCGCACACTTTGTCCATATCTTCCGGTTGCCCATTAACTAATCTATACCTGTAAATGTAAATGAAATTAATCAATCAATCACCCACACATTATTATAAATCAATTATTTGTTTTATGATTATATACACTTGTACAAAGTTTGTACCCTTGTGCATAAATATCGGTAAATATGTAGTATACCGAGTCATCCTAAAGGTTCCACTTACCACTTCAACTCAGCATCTGGCACGGGGGCTGTACATGTAATATCGACGTGTTTTCCTCTTGCTACGTACTCCTTATAGACCTCCTTGCCATTTTTTAGGGTGGCATTAGTACTTTGGGGGAAAATATATATATTAGTATGTCGTCAAACTTATTTGTATTATTATCTGTACTAACACTTTTTAATTATTAATAATGATTATAGATTTAAAACTCACCTTAGCATTAAAGGTATAGCTGAAAAATGTAAAAAAAACGTTTATTCATCCGATAGAAACTTTCAGTTTAGTTATCAGAGAATACACTAGTTCTAAGCACATACAAGTACAAAATTAACAACTGCCTGCTAGCAATCGCTTATCGTGTGTGGTAAGAATGCATTAATATTAAACACAATACTGGACAATGACATGGATATTTTATAAATGTGTCAGTAGTAGAAAGATTTAGCTCTGCGGTCCTACATATGTCTGAAAACTTTACAGAAATACATTTTCTTACAGAAAGTAATAAGTGAAGCATTATAAGCATACCTCATCAAACAAATGTTACCCAACACAAGTAAATTGTATTCACGAAAGGTAATTCATAATTGGCCAGACTCCACGTGTTCATAATTATGTAAGAGTTGTGTGTAATAAAAATGAGTACACACTGGCCATTCAGCAGTATTCCGTATTATACGCATTCAACTCACAATTTCTCTGAGTCTACCTTTCTCTCGCATGGACTTGTAGTAATCCAATCGATCAATAAAAGAACAAGTTGTGAGTGAATTATGTAAATGTAAAACGCAACCTGAAACGGCTATCATATGGACTGTATGTAATGTTGATTTTGCTGCTTCGAAACTACTAAACCTAACAATAAGTTTAGGTCATTGTTAAAAAGCTGAAGCTACGGCTCGCCACCAGATTACTTTACGGAAAAAGAACGTGTGTGTGAGAGTGAGAGCGAGAGAGAGGGACGGTGAAAGTAGGCCAACCTTGACAGGACATGGATGTTCCATTTTAACGCAGTTTACTCTTCGTCAGGAGAATTAGAGTAAAAACAAAATTACGAAATTAGGGTCGACATATTATTTGGGAGTGAAATGGTAATAAACATTAAGAACGTGATATTAAAACAACTACTCTGAAATACTGCAAAGTCTGGAAAACAACTAAAAATGAGCCTATTTTTTGCTTTGTTTCTTTTTTTTGTGGGAGAGAAAAAACGTCTGAGGGTGCGCACTGTTCTCAAGCGTTATACCAAACACTCAGCGCACAACAAACAAAAAGCAGCGGCGTTCAGAGTTAACTCGCAGCGACTCAATTATGGGAATCCGTGTTAAGTAGTAAGTACTTAGGTTTGAGAGAAAGGTATATAATCTGAATCTGACTAACCAATGCTCACTGTGACCTTGACACCATGGTTTGCTCCAACACGGCTGGAAGAGAGACAAACCGGCGTACATTTGTACTCGCCGACATGGAATTTAGTCGAGGCATTAACCACAAGTAGTTCACTATATATATAGCCATCCGTCTCTCTTCCAGTCTCAACAAATATATCCAACTCATCCTGAATCTGAGGAGTTATTTCTCTGCCATTAAGCATCCACTTCAAGTTGTGAAAGCGACTTAGGTCACAACTTAGGGTGAAAGACGCCCCCTCTCTAACCATCACTTCATTTTTCGAGTCTTCATCATAATTATTTAACAGAGGTCCTTCTTCAGTCCCGTTGCTATTCCGCAAGAGGAACAAGGGGGTGCAACCTATATGTAACACACCACCAGACCACAATGAATAAGCCTCCGCCTTTCTCATTTCAACAAATACAAATCAATTAATTAAAAAATAGGTCACAAAAAAACAATTGTAGCTCAAAACAAGTCGATGCGAAATTTAAAATAAGCGTCAAGTGTATTTAATTTGTGTATATTACATATATGTTTGGCGTCTCTTTGTTAGTTACTACATACATACAAAAAATATGTGTGGTGATAATCGTGAAAACAACTGAGAAATATTTTATTTTTACGTTCACCTATTTATCTGTAGGCATGCCCCTTATTAACTAAACTGCTGCTTGCAAAGTACAACTATAGAAGTTCGGGCGAAACAAGTTGAGGCACGCATATGATATAATAACAGACATTCAACAGAAACTTTCCCAACATAAATAAAAGCAACAATACGTCCATCTTTCAGTCACAAAAAACAGTAAACAAGGGAAAAGTGACAACATACTTTTAATATAGATAAAGTGATAATGATAACCATACATTAAAATTGTAGCTAAACTTATAATAGCTAACACCCCAATTGGATTATCATCGGCATCAATTACACAACTAAATAAGATATTGGATGGCTTTCTATATCTAGATCCTATATTGCATGAATACCAAAATCAAGAGCTGAGAACATGAATTTTTCAATGGGACCACTTTTTCAATTTGAGCCTAGACCTTACCCATGATCATCAAATATTAAAAACAAATGTTTCCCATACTTAGAACAAAGTTTCCGTGCACTTTGCTCAACATTGAACACTGTTTCATTCAGCTGTAATCAGAATCGTGTGTTTTTAGCATAGCATCATAATAGTTTCATAACATTCATTTCTATGCCATCGCTGAAATGCAAACCACACGAATGTGCAATAACAAGCAACAAGGCATGTTTATTAAACATACCTTGACTTTCTCCCACTGTGTGTATGTAGTAGAGAAACACTAGTAATACTACTGCCTATGCATATATGCACGTATAAATGTTTTTCGTACAAGGAGAAACGAGTGAAGCATTATAAGTATGCCTTAAAACAAATATTACCAATGCGTACGTACTACTCCGAGCTACAACCCCATGGCTTAGGTAAAGATTTAGGAAAAATGAAGCAAGGTTCTACAATTCACGGCTACCATACCGTCAAGAGATGTTACTTTGTTTATGAAATCGATGACTTTTAACGTGTAGTCTCGAATACTAAAAACCAATAGAATACGCACTGAACTTATGCATTGTCCGTGGACCGAAAATGCCAAAGGAAATTATTACCACTATCACGAGTTTACGAGTGACTTTTGCCATTAAAATACATATAGACGTTTATATAAATAACAATTAAAGCCAAAACACAGTATTCTACTTGTATTTTTATGGATAATTAAATTTAACGTGCCAAAGTTTGAGCTCCAGTACAACAGTTTTCCTGGCTACAATTTCACAGCAGGGGGATTCAGTTTAGTATAATAATAAATTATCTACATTCACAGTGCAGTGGTGCTTGCCTACATCACATTTCGCTGAAGGAAGAAACATAAAGCTTGCCATGTCAAAGTGTGCATGAATTGACTCCACACTTATGAAAAAATTTCACTGGTTATAGTAAATCAAGCCTATATTTAGATGCGACAATTACAGAAAAAGAGAGTGAATAAACACAAAGACCCAAAACTTTAGAATCAGTAACCAGACAGACAAAAACTGCCAAAGTATGGAATTTTAACAATTTATGCAAATATGTGTACATTTTCGATTTGATTATTTGAGTACGCGAATTGAGAAAGTTAGTGACACCCATTTTACTAGCTACCCGTATGAAATGACTAGAGTAGTGATGTTTAAAATTAAGAAAGCTATCCGTCAGAGACTAATGCGAAACAATCCAAGAGTTGTCTAATTTTTGACGTTTCGGTGATTTGGATAATTTGGACTCGTTTCAATCGGATTCCGTTTCGCAATATCCACGTCACAGTTAGAATTGGAACAATGGATGAATGATCAACTGCTTGAGTTGCGCAGATATGCATGTTTCATTGTATTTATATAGTGCGGGACACGACTATCAACTTATCCTGTGGTTGATGCTTCTTCTTTCAGAATGGTTAGTCATTGATCTATGTCGGCTTAAAAGAAACAGCGGAATCATGATGATAATACGGATAAGCAGCTCTCTGGCTACCTATAAGGAAACGAGAAGCTGTTGTCGAAGCTCACCGAATACGTTCAGTGATATGCTCTCCTTACATCCCCGCAGCAGATCTTGCAAGACCCGCAACAGTCGCAACAGCTCCATCCTGCCTGCCTGCTTGCCTCGATGGATGGATGTCGATGCTCGTTAAGAATAAATTGAGCTTACAGAACAGAATAAAACTGGTATAACAAGGGAAGGATTTTCAACAGATCCGCAATAATCCAAGTGTTCAATTATTGCCAAGAATGCACCCCGTTATAGACTATCTATATTCCAGAAGAAAGCAAGATAATGGCTCTCGTACCATAATCCTATAGAGCTGACGACGAACTGATAAGATTGGATGATGATGATGATACCATTAAAAATAGCATATATCTGACTGCATCTGAGAGTACATATATCTTATCTCTGGATATTTGGCTGCTGGCTACCAAACTCTCGACCGTCGTTTCATTTCGCTTCTAAAAGCACACCACCAACCACAGCAGAACATGTCAGATGCCATGATCCTCATAGCTAATTGGTATTCAGACCAAAAGCATTTCCACTTGTCGAAATAAGATTAGATTTTCAGTTTCAGTGTCCTCAACTGTGTCAACATTTACTAACTTGCAAAGTTGGTAAATGTTGACACGACACGTATCGCAAACAAAATACGTATGTACATACAACATTCACGTACTTGCAAAAAGTACGTGACCTAAGATATATTACCATAAACTCTTCAAATCTGACAATGTGCTCGAAATCGCAAGTTTGGCCAAATTGTGCTACAATAGTAAGCACGGAAATAACTGCCTTTCCACTCATATTACACACAACAACAACCAATTCAATGAGGATGAGTATTCATGAATCGATTACGGCTAGTTGTCAAACATAATTAAGAACAAGTGTCAAGTTGAAATATGGCACAGTAAGGAGCACGTATGTACATAGCGACAAAAGGTCATTGCGTACAAGAATATGCCCATTGGCTGGAGAAAGCATAGAACCATAAAGATATTGGTCCCAAACCCACAAATATACGATCAAATAAACCTGATTGGTGCCCTGTTCCTACGCTACGGCGTGTAAGCATACATAAATGAACTGCATACCGTAAAGAATGAGAGGACTGCGGTCACATAATAAAACCATTAATCACACATAGTACCGCCACGGCAAAGACATAAATCTAGAATCGAAAACCTCGACTCGCACACCTTAGCCAGCTAAAACTCACAACTAATGCTCATGTGTGTAAACTAATCCTAAGTACTTGCAGCGCCATCAACCATAATACACACATTTTCCTACTTTCTTTTTCAAGCTTCCCCAAGGAGATTCAGTTTAGCAATCAGTTATACTCTTCGAGTCACGTATTACATCAGTAACGTATGCAAATGTGTGCACTTTCCTGGGTTGAATACCACAATAGTATCATTGACTAAACTAACTGCATATGTATGTGCTTGTGGTGTAATTGAAGAACGAATCATTGTTGGTTTTAATCAGCGTAGGTTTTACTTGCTCCATTTTTAACCTGCTGAGGAAATATCAATTTACAACGTTGTCATTATGAAAAATAGTTGACATGATTTGGTTTAAAATGTTTAAAATATTTCCCATGTTTAAACAGGTTTCCAACTCACATTCGTCATTCGCACGGAAAATGTATGTACATAAGAGTCATAACTAAATTAGTTACGATATAGATTCAGTCAGAGTATGCAAGGACTCCAATTTTGCCTTGATCCTTCGACTAACTATCCCTAGTTTACCAGCCATCCAAAGTGAAAGGCGAAGGTACGTCATCAGCTCATCATGCATACGTCAACCTCGCATTTCAGATACAAATTGTACAAATATGAATGTTAAACAAAGGATTTAAGTTTGCTTTCCACGAGCACTGGTAAGACGCATTGTCTGTGGGAGCGGACAACACCCGGTACACTAATAAATCCGTTAACTCGGGAGGCTATCTCAAATGTGACTGCTGCAGCTTCCAAAATAATTTCTAGTACGTGGTATCTAATGGGAAATAGGGCTGAAAACGCCAGTTGTCAGTAAACGGAGATTTAAATCACAAGTAAACAGCAACCATGGCAGATTGCGAGCAAGTTAAAATATCCGACTACAGAAAAACATACCACTTCGGGTTACGTGGCGAGTATGCAACGCCCATTTCACTTTCAAATTCTAAATTTCGATCTTCACCCAAGTCATGAGTTAATTCTACAAATGTAGATGAACATGTTGAAAAGTTAGATCGGCAAGCACACCATGACAGTTTGATTACATTACTACAAAAAGGATTGGGTGTATTCCAACAATTTGCATATGGAAGTAATCGAGGAATCTTGTACGAAAAACAATATGTAATTTGAAGGTGGAATGATATTTAAAGGACTTTGAATTCATGGAACATCTATTGCCAAGTATAAACTTTATGATTTTTGAAACAAACTCATTAGTTCATCCAACTAACTAATGGATGATGCTTATGTATGTAATGTACGTAGTTTAGTTTATCATCTTTGATGAGAATGGAGCAGAGCTTCACATTTACATAGTAACTCGTAGAAACTGTCCACTGAAAAAATAATTTTAAAAAATTCAGGCGCATTCAACTCATTGTGAACCAAAGTAACATGCATGCATATCTATTCCAGGTGAATACCTATGCATATAAGCGGGGTGTACATGCATATATATTTGTGTATAAATTGTAATTCGGGTATTTATTATGCATGACTTGGTTCTGGTAAATACACAGGTAATACACTAGAGTTTAAATTGCACAACAAAAATTGCACACTATTTATCATGCAAAATGAAAGAAGAAATAAAATCCGAGTGTTTGTTGGTTCATTAGTTGTTTGTGTGTAAGGGAATTGTAAATAAGAATTAAAATAAGATTATGTTGCATTATTTAGCATAATCTTATTTTCCAAATCAAGTGTTGTGTGTCATGATTGAGCTAAAATTTATTTCTACATAACAAGAAAATATCTATCAGCTCTGCTAAAAATAGTCGTACCCTCTTGTACGATTAATATGCCAACTTGACGTCACTAAATATCCTCCCAAATATCCTCAACAAAATAATATTCCTCGTACTTGCAACAGTGCTTGCGGAATGAATGAATTGTTACTTTGTTCATGCACAACCTCTTTATTAAAGAGTGTGAGGAGCGTAGAAAACTAGAAAAATAGGGACGAGAAAACAACATACAAAAACTTTCAATGAGCAAATAAAGGCATATAATAGTAAGTGAATATAAATAGTGAAAACTGAGACAAGTCAGGTTAGTTTAGATCTTTTGTCAGCTCAGTGCTAAAAAACATGTTTTACTTGTTCAATACATTTCCTTCTTTGTACGACTTGTGAAGAAGGGATAGATCGATACGTCTTATTATCTTGGTGAAAAGGTATGTATCGTATATCAATAAGGATATAAAAGTAAATACACACGTTCCTCAATCTTATTGCATACTTCCTTAAAAAGTGTCATGTCTACAGAAAAAAAACAGAAAAAATGGGTCACAAACAACACATAATAAATGTTTGCATAGAGTTTACTGAACCAATTACTTACAATTATACTCAGCATTGCAAAAAACTGATATTACAGAGTTCATTGAAAATATCCTATTTTTGCTCCTATTAACTGTTTCTTTGATATGCAAGATAGAATTATTTTGATATTTCAGCCAAAAATATGTAGTCTGATTCTAGTATTTCATTGTTAGGATGTATATGGAGACGTACGTTGCATATGTACTTATACAGTTATACATGTCCAATCTGAACAGAACTGACGGAGGAGTGTCGGAGTGTGTAGCAGCACAGGCGGCTCACATCTGGACTTGAGAGCCAATTTCTCGAGCAAAGAGCATCCTCGTGTGCGATAAACTATTACTGCATTAATACCAAAGGAGACGACAATGGGTGAGAAATCAGTTCTCTTCTTATAATAGTTTTGTGAAAGTACATAGCTGGCTGAGAGGCAGGCAGGCAGGGTGAGGAGAGAGAGTGGTGGATGGAGATGCTGCTATATTCTTGCCAAGTTTTGGTTGAGCATGGTGGGAGAGAGTCGTGGTGGTGTAGGGTGAAAGCATGCATGTTGAACTTTCACTCGTACCAGAAACCCCACCCATACAAACATGGGTTGGAAGTGAGCAGCAGTGGAAGAGAACAGAGTCCCTGGAGCTAAAGTCGGCAACTGGCACAATTTTGCACACACATGCATATCTCTCAGACCAGGAGAGATATTGATTTCGTGTAGTACAAATACCTTATCCCATCTCATACTTTTGCATAAAAGGTACATCAGAAGAGGCTTTCCTATTTTTGTCTAACGTGTAACAGACAGATAGACTGCTTCTAGTAGTCCGTCTACTTTCACCACCACCACCACCACCAAGCACACACGCATATTTATTTCTCTTCCTACTTTTAACGACTTATCCTCTCCACCAGAATGACCTACCAACCGACAAAAAAATCTTTGTCCAAGAATCGGGTTGGAAACTGATGACAGCCCAAGCACCAAAACTTGCATATTGACCACGACACTAATTGCATTTCACAGAGTGGAAAAACGAAAACTATACATGTGCAGGGTTCTTTATGGTATTGTGGCTATGTAAATATATATTTATGTATCTTTTCTCATCAGACTTTAATTTGCAACGGTTGCTTGCGGGTACTACTGATATTACAACTACAGCTTTGTAATCTTTTTAGAGCTATATTAGCAACTATGAAATACTTATATGGAGTGTGACAAGTGAATGAAAAGGCAATATATACATAAAGAAAAGTAGACGAGTTATTATCCTCCTACCTCGAAAAGAAATCCACAAAATCAAATATAATTGGAAGCGTAGACATACTTATTGGTACATAAAAGTAGAAATTGAAAAGTGTACTCACCGTCTGCATAAGCACTTGGTGACAAAAAGAGGATTATGACAGCCAAGGATATATAAATTAATGTGAACAATGTCATTCTTCCGCCGGACGTTGATGATGGTGGCGGTGGAATTCTTGTTCTCTTTCTCGTACCCGAACTTGCTGAAGAATTATTGGAAGTAGGGGATATGAAGGCAGTGTCGTTGGTGGTGGGCGACGGCAAGCATTGAGTTCTGAATTCGCTGGCCATTCTTCTTTGGATGCTCATAATTGGATTTGGAGGATTCACGAGGTGAAGAATAGGTGGATGATGGGCGCGTATACGGTACGTACGATATACGATTAATTACGCCCCGTTTATCATCAACACTAATTTTCACCAAGGCGGCAGATCCTTTCACACGATCAATGGAACAGACTTCATCGATGATGGTCAAGAATTTGCGGTTTAGTTTGATTGCTTCTTGCTTCTTCGAGATGTGGGGGTTGTTGATGACAAATTCGGCCTTGTGTAGGCTAGGTTCAATTGTATGGCAGTTGGCAGCAGCAGAAGTAATATCCGTTGAACGTTGACTTGAGATAGCAAACTTATTGGTTATTCCTCAGACCTTTCTTTTCACCTCCTGTACCTGATTAACTGTTTTGTACGAGGAGGGTCATGATAAATGCAGCTCCATTTTTTTGCTTTCCGGAAAACGTTAACCCCTCACAGACAGAGAGACAATTAAACCGTGTCGTTTCTTCCCTCTGGAATTATTAATATAATATTCGATTTTTAGCTGCAGGGAAGTTGAATGTAAAAATGAGAAAGGGTTAAATTTTATTGATTAAGAGCACGGTTTAAAGACTACAGCGAGGCAGAGAGTTGTATACAGATGCACACTATGTTATTATTATTATGTCGTCGTGTGGGAGGTCAATATGGTTGAAACAGTTTTAAATGTTCTAACTCTGGCACAATATTTTACGACGACGTTGACTACCAATCTGGCAACGCTTCACACACTAAGGCCATTGGAATTTCAGAATTGCAAACTCGAGCGAATATTCATTAATAGCCGAAATAGCACCTGTAGATAATACACGTCGGCGTTAATATTATTATTTTTGATTGCCCTTTTAGCCAACTACTTCACCGAAGAAACAACCGGTGTGAAATAAAAATGTTCCCAAAGTGACCCACATTTAATATCAATGGCGATAATGAGCTGTTATATTTTTCTGTAAAGTTCAAATTTCTAACGTCGACGAAAAATTTCAGCAACTTTTTCCTTTGTGATATACTGAGCCAACTTTTAACTTATCAAGCTCACTTTAATCCAATGTGTGGCGAATTAAGCAATACGTAATTGTATTGATCGACTTTCACTTTGCAATAAAAACTTTCACCCGAGCCGAACAGCCGAGACCCAGCTAATCATATAGCTCCCTCTTCTTCCTTTCCACACAAATTGGATATTCTAAAAAGAGTCAGTGGTGTGCCAGGCGACTGTTTAATTCAACAGACCACGACGGCCAACAGTCGACGTCCCTAAGTGGTGACAGATAAAGTTTGCTACCTCATTTTGCGTTACCTCCCATACATTATCGATTCACGAGGAGATAATGGCATGTTCATGAAACAATGTCACGTCACACACACACTTCCCGCTGCTGTAGCCACCCAATCTTTGGACCGTTGTCGTCCACGAGCATTCCGTTAATTTTGAAATCGGAAAGTTTTTTTATTTTGACGAAAAATCCTGACAAACAAATGTTACTGACTTGAAATGTATATCCTTCCGTCCCTCAGTCTGCTAGTCCAGTAGCCGGTGTCCAGCAAATTATGTAGTTCCTTCCATTCACCTCACACTTTCACCACGCAACAATATTTCCCATTATTCTACTTTTGCGGCCCCAGCCCAGATCTTGGCACACATCGAAGGGGAAAGGAGAAAGGGCGGCTGATTCTGCACGAGAAGAATTAGACAAAGTTTGGAATTAACAAACAACAGTTATGTATATCCCATTTAGCTGCATCGCAAAACACATATGTAAAGGCAAAACCAAGTGATAGCAGTTATACCTATGACATGACGTGAGCCGACTAGTTTCTTTAAAATTGCACAAAAACTGAGACCTCAAGTTGTAGCTATCTTGGTCTGTGAAAAGTTACAGTTGCACTTTGAGTTGGTTAGTTAAAGAGGACGAATCAACGTAAAACATTCATTTTGCTCATTTTGGTTTGGCTTGGCAATGAATTTTCACAATGTGATGGAAAGTAGAGAGAGAGAGAGAGTAGCAGTAAATCGCAGCTGAAGATAACTGAGCAAGAAAAATTCACGGCACCAAGCAGCAGGAATGGTGGAAGTTGGTTAAAGGGAAGGTGAAAGTGAGGTATTTGTTAAGAATGGATGGAGAAAGTAGAGTTTGTGGGATGCATTAGATTCGATGATCTGGGATGGATGAAGAAGAGAGGAGAAGACGAAGAAGACGAAGAAGAAGAAGAAAAAGAAGGATTTGGATTTACTCTATCTTTAATGGGATAGGTAAATGTGAAAGAAGTGAAGGTAACTTTAGTAGCAGTAGTCGTGGTTGGAACACTTTGGGGATGGATGTTCCGACGGCACTGCTTTCCTCCCGCAGCTTTGTTCTTCTTTCACTTCTACTCTCATGTAGAATGGGCAGAAATATTATTCCACAGACTGAACATGGGACACAGACTGTGTGTGGATGGATAATAATGGTGTGCCGTGGTGGTGTGGTTGGTGGGGCTCACAAGTATTCGCAGTTTCAGCGTGTTATAGGTCTGCCTCGTCGATGGCAGGCAGTAGTAGACCTTCGGCGTGTGGGACTCACTGAGCGGACTGACGACGGGCCGACTCAACCAAGAACAACCCGAAGAGGAAGAAGAAGGAGAGAGAGAGAGAGAGAGAGAGAGAGAGAGAGAGAGAGGGCGAAAGGCAGGCAGGCAGAGACTCTGGTTGGAAGGAAAGCGAGAACAATCCGACCGAGTTTAACTTGTACTACTCCTGTCCTGTATGCCCCCTTCTTACTGGTGGTGAAGATCTTGGAGTTAGTACAACTCCTGCTTGCTGCTGCTGCTGGGTGAAAGAAGCGAGAATAGTGAGAAGAAATCTTGAACGTATGTAGGCCCTCCTATTATGCATATCTACATAACATACTTTACTTGGACTGGGTGATCTGGCTGCTGGACACATTCGTCGTTTCTACTATTCCATCAACTCTATCCATGCTTTCAGAATCAGTATTCTCCATTCTCTCCCTCATGTATTTTTATAAGCACGAATTTAGACGCGACGAACATGGCATAGCACAACACGAGCATAACGGGATAACGGGAGGGAGAATAGCAACAAGGAGAGGACGACGACGACAATGGTGCGCCAAGGCTGGTGGTCTCGTTATTCGCCAGAGAAGAGAGGAATGGAGAAAGGAGTGAGATTGCCCGGGTCGGTTATGCTCCGGAACCCGATTCGGAGGGAGGGGTGGAGCATGGGCAGGATGGTGGAGGAGATATTACTCGGGCCGAGACTCAGAGTTCTCTTTCTGAATATGTCTTAAGGTCTTAAGATATTGACTCTCGCCTGATCAATACGACGACCACCACCCAACAAAACCCTCCACAACTCAGGGGAGCGCTTACCATCTCCTCCATCGCCATTATTCAGGTTATTCTCGTATAGCCCAGTTCCTCTCTCTCTAGCTAAGGCCCAACCAGGCAGCGGAATATATATACATATATTTAGATATGGGTAGATGGATATATGCATGAACGTGGATACATTTCCGCATTAGGACCGACCCAACTCTTCCAAAAATTATTATCAGTCTTCTCCAACCTACATCCAATTCAACCACTTTTACTCTCGTCGCCTTATCCTTATTACTACATACATACTACTCACTCACTATCCTCCACCTCCTTTCTCTTCGACACACACACACATTTCACTCACATTCTCGGCGAGATCTTTCCCCATATCCACGATGCGTCGAATGACTGCTTTTCCTGGATGCTTCCTTCTCCTTTCGTCCAACTTGCAGACCTCAAGTTCATCTCATCTGAATCGGTGAAGGAAAGTGAACGCTGGATTGGGTTACTTACACACTCCTTTCTCAGAACTCTGCTACTTGACATTTACCACAAATTCCAAGCTACCTCAGGTTAGCCACAACCGGACACATGAGACTGTGCTTTCAACTATTCACACCTTGGTTGCTCCCATACTACGATTTTCCCAACCACCACTCGTCCACCTAACTTGATGATTATGATGGAATGACATAAATGCTGCGAATCAAACAAATGTGATTAGCAGGACAGGGCAGCAGGTAGGTGTATGCACATACCTTCATACATATATACTACTGTGTACAAATGTAAGTATGTATATCTGCATCGACTCCCATGCTTGAAAATTGTTGGAAAATATTTTATATTTCACAAGTCATTTCCATCTAAAGGATCCTTCTCCCCAAAGTTCCATGGTTTTATGATGACAAATGTGCCTAATCTGAGGAATCAGATTCCTCTCATTTCACTCGAATGGAAAGTTGATCAAAAAGTCTTAATATAGCCGCAAGCAGGCAATGTGGTTGACGAGAGAGGAAGAGAGGAGCATCTCTCATCAGCGTTGTCACGACTGTCAGGTTATAATGCAACATAGCAGCTCTAGAAAGCAAGTCAACCACTCAACTCACTACAAGAACTATACGGCCTTGTGGCCTACATATATATATCATTATATCGTTTTGGCTCTCACCCATTTTCCTATAATTTCCCACAAAGCCAGCAATGCACATCTGACGGAGAAAGCGGAATTGGAGGAAGAAAGAATCCGACCCACCCAGCCACCAGTCAGAGCAAGTTGGTATTGGAAGGATTTCGCACGAGAAAGTTACAACAGGGATCAGTCGGTGCTGGTGGTGGATTGGGTGAAAGCAGGCAGGATCGCCGGGCACACACAACATCCTCACCACCGCATTCATGTGAGAGTAAAACGGCCTCTCCTCTCTCCAGACTTGACTCACGGCCAAAATTACCCGAAGGATTCCGAGAAAGCTGCCACTGTAATAATGGTCTGGGAGGACCTCCTCACTTGCTCCATCCTCGTCCCAACTTGTGAATGACAAACTTTCACTTACTCGAGCAAGTCGACGGAGGCCGCAAGTTGCAATTAATTCGTCTTATAAACAAAGTCAAGCAAACTATGTATGAAGATGCATTTGTAGTGTAATCATCATCAAAAGTTTTCAGGAAAATTCAGATAATGTGAAACTTTAGTGAAAGTGGTCAGATTCAAGATCCCAGTAGCAGAAGCAATTTATCAGTGTAACATGATCCCGTGCACGGCTTACTTTCTTTAGGTTTAGCAGATCTCTCTATTTGTGATATTACATAGTATTACCAACACTATTTATGCTACATAATGTAAATAATGAAATATTATTCATTATGCTATCGCTTATGATCTAGGATTTGAGTAAGTGGTAAATAATAAAATGAGCATTTTACTTTAACTTCAGAATCGGGGATGGGATATGTATATAAACTCATGTAAATTATTACCTTATTAAATCAGGAACGACTCCAGTTGAGCATGATGAACGATGATGGTGATAACCTATTTTAGTTTAGAAGAAGATCATGCCGAACTTATTTGCGGCAACTGTGCAAAAAAAGACCTAAGAAAACAGCAGCGGATGGCTGGGGGAAGGCGAGACGTCTCGCGGTTCACCGGTGAATGCGTGCTTGTTCTCGCCCTTACTCGTCGCCTCTCATCATTCTTCGACATTATCTTCATTCTCGTTTTTGAGTAAAAAATTTTGACAAACCTTCACAAGAAATATAATTTTTATTTTTAGACGCCGATAAAACCAGTGCAAGGTTTGAAGACCGAAATCTACAATGGCACTTTCACTTTCCAGAACACTTTCGTTGAAATTGTTAAACTCTTCCGTTTTCCTTTCTCCCCAAAAGATACCAGGCAAGTCAGACTCAAAAATTGCTGGAAAAGGAATTAATTGAATATTATTATTAACATTTGTAATAATTGTTGCTCAATTTAGCATTGCTAGGTGGTTGCCGAACTCTGTTTGCTGTCCAAGCCTTAGGCGTTGATGGTTATGAGAAACAAAGGGAAAGAACAGTTCAACAATTTGCTGGAATGACGGATAAATTCAGGGAGAAGATGAAGGAGTTTTCCACAACTGGGTCTAAAAACATGATATTTACAGAAGATTTGAAGAACATGGTCCATATGATTGAAGATAATCCGGAAGATATGGCCCTTGTTCTTCAAATGATGAAGCGGTACAATCGATTATATATTTATCAAAAATTTCAGTTCAAGTTATTAGTGCAACACATTATTTAAATAACACTATGTAGGTTTAACCAACAAAACCGTCATTTACGATTTGGAAATTTTGTTTTTGGACCTGTCGTTATGAGGTTAGTATAAGCAAATAACCCTTTTCCCACGCCACCACGCCAGACTTATTATTATGTAATGCAACTTAATAAATACTTTGTAAATTCATCTAGAATGTATCATTTCCTGAACCAGCCAACCCAAGCCCTTCAGGCATTCAAGGATCCAGAGTTGGAAGGATTTTTTGATCAGCTAGCCACGTACCAAGTTCTGTGCGACTTGTTATACAACAACGCAATGTACCAAGAAGTTATTGACGTTTTCGAAATTGTCAAATCTAAACAAGTTCAAGGTACAAAATATCCTCGGAATGTTCTGGTAATCGTATTTGCAAGTTGTTATAAACTGGTAAGTGAATAAACTCGAGTGTTTTTAATATTATATACAAAGTGTTTGCCGACTATGAGTTGTACTGTTTATTTAAAATTACAGAATACTGTACAAAGCTACGAATACGCTTTGAGCTTGTTGCAGCAAATGAAAACAGTAGGCGCACTACCTGTCAGACGTCTTGTAACGTATGCTGCTGGTCTTGCAGGTAATAATCATATCGTGCAAAAAATTATGAAATCATGCAACAACAACTTTAAAGTAACGAACTCTTACATTATTAATAGTGAATCAAAACGCTCCAAATATTGCACTAGAAATATTATCCTTGTCCGGTGTCAGCAATTATGTGACTATCCGAAATCTGAAGGTTTGATCAGATTATTGATAGAATTTTGTCTTGTATAAAATATATTGGCTTCTTCCTAACTTCTTAGTTGTTGAGCTTGAGTGAACTTGGCCGACCTGAAGATTGTTTGCCTATTCTTCGAACGTCTATTGAAGTTGACAATCCAACAGGAGAAAAAAGATCTACCGTCTGCTCCGATGTAGTAAGTATACGTAATATTCTTTCCCACGTTTAGAAATTTTCTGAATGATGACTTCTTAGGACACCTTTGACGTTCTGTGAAAGCATTAATTTATAACACCTGACTTATTTATTACAACACTTTTAAGTGTTTGAGCATTATTTTCCTATCGATAAATCTAATTGATTATTTCTTAATGTTTTAGTTGGAGAAGGTGGCTCAAGCTGTAGCGAAGGCTAACAACAAGGAAGTTACTGTCGAATTTGAGAAAATAACGAAAGCCCTGAAGGAAACTGGTCAGATCTCAGAGGTGTGTAATATTGCTTCTACTTTTTACCAATTACAGGTTTTTGATTACTTAAATTTCTTCTAATTTATAGAATTTAAAAAGCATCCTCGATGCTGACATAAGTGCACCCGACGCGGACAGGCGATTCCCACAAGGCCAACAACGTCAATCAATGCAACGAAGTTTTCGCATTGGACAAAGCCTTGATTTGCGTCCCAGAAGAAATCCTTTGTACGAACGAGAACGACAAAGCATCCGCTCTGATTGATTATAAAAATTTATACAAAAAATAAATATTGCTACATAATTCATGTAGATAAATAGTCAGTGGCGGATCTGCCATATTGCATTACGTAAGTTTGTAGGATTTTTAATAACGAAAGTTAATAAATTACATCTCTAATTGATGAACAAAGAACTTGAGACTTGACAAATATTTATAAAGATACCCAATTTTATTAAATTTCAAATTATGCACTAGACATAATGTGCAGTAGTTGAAACGAAAACAGAGTAATAAGACAATAATAATAACAATACAGTTTTTAAGCAAGTGTAGTTGACATTAAATGAAATCAGTAGTATTATATTGCTTAATAACTAGTACCACAAGTATTCCCAGTAACTATATTATATGATTATTATCACTAGATTTAATTTTGGTTTGCACGAATTTACAAAATTTTGAGGCAGTTGTATGATTTTACTCTTCGGCATCCTCTTTCGGAACAGAATAGGGCTCAGCAATTTCTTCGGATCCGCAATTAACAATCGTCACATCCAGTTCAGGCTTATCTCGGCCATCGGTCTTCGTAGCCTCAATTTTGCGAATTACATCCTAAGTTGATTTTTATAAAGTTCAATTAGTAATTCATTTCTAAAGTCAAAATAATATCCTATCTTTATCATACCATGCCACTAATGATTTTTCCAAAAACGACATGCCTTCCATCCAACCACGGAGTCTTCTTTGTTGTAATGAAGAATTGGGATCCATTAGTATCTGTACAATTTCAATATGATTAACGAACAATACCAAAGGCATAATTCTAAAACCAAATTTTAAATTAGTAAGTTGTAACTTTGTGAACCTTTTCCAGCGTTTGCCATACTTAACCATCCAGATCCGTAGTGTTTGAGCTTGAAATTCTCATCAGCAAACTTTTCTCCGTAAATGCTTCGACCTTAAAGCAAAAAACAAAAAATATTTTTAGTGACGTTTTGTTTCATAACAAACCTTAGATATCACAAATATGGTGGGACTAAAATTGACTAAATACTAAAAAGATCTGATCCACAGTTCAGGAATGTGACATGGGCCAGGACTTTCATTTCACAAAATTCATGAAAATCAAGGCTGGGGTCCTGCCATTATTAATTTAGCACTCTTGCAAAAGAGAAAACTCATACATATAGAGTCAAATCTGATCGAAAGTGCATACTCATACAATATATGACACGTATGACGTATGGTGGTCGACATGAACATTCAACATTTGTTAAATTTAGATAAAAAAATTACCACCGGTTCCATCTCCTTTCGTGAAATCTCCTCCTTGAATCATGAAATCCTTGATGACTCTGAAATTAAAAAAAACAGGTTAGCTTATTTATACATACAAGACATACTTGCATAATTGATGGAAAAAACTTTTAGATTACCGGTGAAATTTGCTGCCCTTGTATCCCTCACCCACCTCAGTCTTTTGAGCTAATTCAATAAAATTTTTTGCGGTCTTTGGCACTGTCTTTCCAAAAATGCCGATTTCAACGCGACCAGCTGCTTCATCCCCAATTTGTATGTCGAACCAGACCTGAAACAATACACAGCAAGATCATATATAGCTTTAATTATACTTTTTACCAAATGAAACAAGATGGACAAGTGAAGAGAAGAGTTCCATCAGACAGACTGGAAAAAAGTTATTTTGACGTCTAGTTGTTTGAAAAATATAGTGCTTTCCATTTGATGTTCTATCTATACTATACATCAATATATTTAATCTTGTCAGACTTTGATGGTGGAGGGACCTACCTTATCGGTAACTTTGGGTCCTTTCTTCTCATTCGCGTCAACCACTCCGGTGGTCAGGAGGATGAGGTAGACAGCGAGCGCCGACACGACCAACATATTGCAGACGATGAATATTCGAACAGTTCTGCTGCTCCTTATCAAACGGGACAAGAACAACCTTGTTGTCATCAACACCAAAGAGGAACAAAGTTGTACTGAACTTGTACGAAGTTGAAGACAGGCGAAAAAGGCAGGAGAGAGAAAAAGCGGAGTGGATTCGAGTGCTTTCCGTGTGGAGAATTTTCATTCGTCGGTTTCTTGTCCCCTCCAAATGGGGCATCATCATCACTCTCTCAATCTCACCACCACCATTACTAAAAGTATTACAAACATTATCCTGCCCCGCAGAATGCAGATCATAAAAATGATGATGATGAATTATAAAGTAAATACCTGTCGAGAAGTTGACAGAATAAAAAGATAATGATTATACTATCATAAATAACCACAAATAACCCAACTGCATTACATGATTAAATGAATACTCTGTTTTTATAAGTTACATGTTTTCACTATACAGACAAAATGATTTGTACGTAGTTCAGATTATTTTAAATAATTCAGTTTTATTGTAGACCAATTAGCAGCTAGTACTAGTACTAGTATAGACAGAGATGTTACCAATATTTAATATTTACTAATCATCTAATAATTTGGATTCTGGCTAGGCATGCTCTGTCAAACTGCATAATACACAATATAACATATTTATGCTTTCTACGTTCAGCTGCACAATGCACAAACATTGTTGCCTGAATTTAAAAATTTGAGGAATATATCTTTTACTTAATGTGGTAGGCAAGACTCGTATTATTTCTGATTGCATAGTCTCCTCTCGAATACTTTTTTTATGGACCAGCTAATTTAATAGACCCTTCGAGGCCTGGTTTACCTTTTGTTGCAATACCAGCAAGTAATTTCTTGATTTCCGCAATTGCTTTTCCAGGATTCAATCCCTGAAACCACATAATTTTTAAATTGTTAGCCTTAACATACATTAAATAATGTTCATTTATAGTTGAGTTAATTACAAACCTTTGGACATGTCTTAGTGCAGTTCATAATAGTATGACATCGATACACCGAGAAAGGGTCGCGCATCTTGTCTAAGCGCTCTCTCGATTTCTCATCACGAGAATCAATAATCCATCGATAAGCTTGCATCAGCACAGCCGGCCCCAAATACTTATCACCATTCCACCAATATGATGGGCAAGATGTACTGCAACAAGCGCATAAAATGCACTCATACAAACCATCCTACAGAGAAAAATATAAATTGATGGTTTCATAAGTCTCTTATTTTGTATAAAAGAAAAGCTTATATTTGCATAACCAATTTGGATAATTTTTCTGTTCCTTCTTACCAGTTTCTTCCTATCATCAACACTTTGGAGCAATTGAGCAGACCCAGGCTTAGCATTATCAGCACGTTGAAGATAAGGTTGAATGGATCTGTACTGCTCGTAAAAATTATTCATGTCTGGTACCAGATCCTTGATTACATACATATGGGGCAGTGGGTAGATCTTTGCCGGTTTACTGGGACTTGGATCTATTTTACTGCGAGATCACGAAAAAATTTCAATAAATTATATTAAATGAACTATTTTAAAATAATTATGACATTTTTTAATCATAGCTAATTGCTCACAGACCTAATGCACGCTAAGGTGTTGATTCCTCCAATGTTCATGGCACAAGAACCACAAATTCCTTCTCTGCACGATCTTCTAAACGTCAAGGTCGGATCTACTTCATTCTTAATCTTGATCAATGCGTCAAGTACCATGGGGCCACAGGCATTCAAATCGACGTCGTAAGTCTGTAGCCGAGGTTTGTCACCTTTCTTGTCTGGGTCCTTAAGTATAATTAAATAACATTTAAGTGTAGCCTGTCAATACTATTTCTCATGACAAGAAAAGACTGCAAGTGCGAGTTGGTATATGTTTCAGAATGCTTGTTTCAGAATGCTTACCCATCGGTAAATTGCAAACTTTTTATATCGTGGGGCTGACGCAGCAGCCGCTGTAGCAGTAGCACTTCCTCGGACCTGTTATACATGATATAAATGTAAGATTAATTATAATTCAAAACTATCATAGATAAGAATAATTTGACTCCTTATTCAACACTCACCACAATAGAACCAAACCTCCCCGTAGTGGTACACACAAGTTTTGATGTTGAAATCATTGTTTATCCACTTTTTTTACCAAAAACAATTACACGATAACAGATTAACGCATACAAAGCCTATTATTGGAACATTACATTAAATAAAATTGTAAGCATCAAGGGAAAACGGTTCTTACCAATTGCAGAACATAAACTTTGTCAAATTAACCAGAGCAGGTACAATTATTTAATGTAATACCGCTGGATGACTAGTCCCAACAAGGGTCTAAAAGAACCAGCCATACAAATTAGTTTAAAATACCAAAAATGAAAAGAGCCAAAATTCTTGTGTACCAGTTGATCGAATTTGTTTGATCCTTGTTGTGTAAAGATCTGCTGCTTTCTCCTTCACTTTAAACTTCCCAAAGTGAGTCTCTGACGTGAATGGGAAGGTGTCGTCCGGGTTCTGCTCTCTGCTCCACCACCGCTGACTTTCACCCTCATTCTCATTCTCACAATTGCATATTCCTTCATACAACTCACGCTATGAGTGCAACCTGCAATTATTGCAAGAATATTCAATTTATGCCCTGCTACGAATTGGTAAACATCTTTATTCACACGTATAACAGCATAAAAGTAAAGCCAATTACTTCACCCAATGGAATTCAAATATATTTGTGGACACCCACACCGCACATGTAGGATAGGACCTTGTGATCTTTAGCTTCTAGGCAGAAAAGTGGTGAAAACTGGTGGATGTTGTTATTAAAAAGAGAGCGAGCCTGTTCCAAGTGTCGCTTCACCGGCGGCGTCCATGTCACAGATTGCTGCGAGATCAGCGTTTGCATCACTTGCGCTCCCAGCCCAGCAGGATAATAAGTCTGGCCTTCACTTTCTCTCCCTAGCTCACGAGTCACAGGAACAAAGCAGTTTCTGCAGTGGATTCGATTTTTCCGATGTTGAAATATGTACCCTCAGTTCAGAGGTGCAACATAATATGAGAAATGTAAAAGTTCTTTTTCCTTTTGTTTGTACGTACCATGCACTTGGTTTTGGCGTGATGAGGATAACCTAATTAATAGAATTTTCAACTTGATATCACCATATTCAATTTCTTGGGTCATCACGCATCAGGAAACCTATTCCCAATCACCGGAAGAAGAACAAGGGTAGGAGGAGAGGAGATGAGAAATGATTTTCGCACAGTTGAACCTAAAGATGAAATTCATAAAAAGAAATACACAGAGAAGAATAAATAAGCTCAAACTCGGCCTTTCTCCTTCAGACTGCCTCCTCCTCAGTGAGTGAATAGTCCAGTCAATCGCACCAAAAGAATCTCAAGATGCTCTCCTAGTACATGCCTATTTTTTGTAGTATGTAATAGTGTATTACTTATAATAATAGTAGGATATAGTACATAGTTAACGTACGCGACGGTGGTTATCCAATTCTTCTTGTCCTTGGACTATTTTGTTATCAAAAATATTGAATTCGCAACCATTCAGTGAGAAATTTCAATGGCCTTTAACCTTTCTGTTTGGCTGATCTGCACTCTATTTATATTTTATCATAATTTCACAGTTATTGTTATTGATCTGATATGATCATCTTCCTATATCATCTCCGTATGGATTCATTCCTCATTTGAAGAGATCGTCATCGTGTCTCTCCGTTGCCAAACAGAAAGGGAAATGAAAGTAAATATGACCAAGTTGGAGGAAGGAAGGAAGGGAAGAAGAGCAAAGAACGAATAAGCATTATTATTTTTCGTATAGATGAATGTGACCACCAAAAGAAATTCCTTGCATTTTCTGGCAACTCGTCACCACCATCGAAAATACACAAAATTGATATTGCCACGAACATTCCCTGCATTGAAGAAGAAGAATGATTGCAATAGAGAACGAAATAACTTTGATATTAAACGTCCGTTCGCTCAATACACGAGTGGATCTTCTCGACTGAAATAATTTTTCACACCATCGTACACAAACTGAAAAAGAAGAAAATTACTTCTCTCCGGTAAACTGTAAACCAATCCAATTACTTTATCTTTTGAACATTGGTGAGTTTGGGTCCGAGTTGTGTGGTCATCGCCACTTTCGAAAGAGAGAAAGCTGATCCTGAGTGAGAGAAACTGCAGGAATTACATTACACGCATGCATTTATTTATTACTTGGAATAATTATATTTTTAATGTATATGTGTCTGTGTTTAATATACTAAATATTATAAAATTTAACTTATTGATAATTTGTGTAAAACTACTTCAGTTCATAAAGATAAATGAAGCCAGCGCTGTGTTTTTTTAGAAAGTTTCTTCGTTTTGAACTATTCTATTTGTGTGCTTTCGGAGAATTTTCCAATATTCTCATCAAGAATTCTAATCTTCTACGGGGGAGTAAAGTAAATTAAATTTTGTTTATCTTGGTTTCAGATTTAATCAGTTTAACTTTTGTTCTACACTTGCTTGGTCTTAACAATGGTTTTAAATATATTGTCGCCAGGGTTGACACTCAAACAGATGGATCAATGATTAGTGAACAAATTGTAATTTACTTGAGCAAACAATGTTAATTGGAATGGAATCTTGAGACAAGTGTCTCGAGATTCGCCAAAGAGACAAAGTTTCATTTTAGATTATCATAAAGAGTTTTAGCGTGATTAGCATAAAGATTTGTTGCTTTTGGGAGATTTAGCACTCAAATCTCAAAGGTTTACAAAGATAAACAAGAGTTGGACCCTAAAAGTTTTCAGTAGTGTACAAATACGTACATATTATATAATCTAAGATGAATGAGAAAATGAGTGGAATAAATTATTAAATCTGAACATGTATTTAAAAAGTCCACCTTCCCATTAGTTCATGATTCTGTAAATATACATTATTGTGCCTTATTTGTATTTGTTTTGAATATTACAGCGAGTTTTCGCAGAGCTATCATGAAAATTGGCATAATTGAATTTATAATCCATCCACGTCTCAAAAAATTTTTAAATTGACATGCACCCACCCAAAATTCAGTTCGCTAAACCATGCAACTGAATGCTCGAAAACGGTGCAGGCTGAGACACATCGTCACCACTATTTCTACTCTTATGGTTTGGTGTAGTTTAATAAAATCTCGAGTTTTCTCCCTCCGCCGCTCCGTCAGTCACTTTCCCTTTGATTCCCCGGCCGGAGAAAGCCACCCTCTTCATCCGTACCTTACAACTCCAACTTGTGTGCGATGGTCTGGGTTGGTTTGATCAGAGTGAGTAATTTTTGGGTGGAAGAAGGCAGACAGGAGGCGAGCTAGGATACAAATACCCACTCTCAGGGCAACCGATAACTTAGTCTGCTGTGGACTTTGTCGACCAAGCTGTGGAAGAGAAAGACGAAAAATAAAAGAAAGAAATAGCACTAACCAAACGTTTAAAAAGTTGGTTTGATCACGAACCACAAAGTTTCTTGCTACAAAGGTGGAAAATAAGGGAAAGTTTCTGGTGGTGGTTGATGTCTCACTTTCACCTCTCTCCAACTACATCCCTTCTCTTTTCAGCCACGTAAACTCTACATGCAGAGGAGCAGAAATAAGCTGCGGGGTATGTTGAGACATTTCAGTTTGCATTAAGATTACTCTTTCGGTTTAAGTATTTCAAACTATTTTTAATTTATGTTTCAGAGTCGATATTACTAAAGTGAATGAATTACTAATGAAACAAAGCAAGCCAAGCTACATTCACGGTGAAAGAATAATCGAACCCTCGCCTATATTGCTAAATCATTCGTCTATGCGCTCTATGTACAACATAAACTAAAATAAATTATTCGTAAATAGTGACTATTTTAATGCAATGCACAAGTGTTAAAGAGCATTGGGCACACACTTCGTTGATTTACAAATTCAAAACTCGAGATAAAAATTTAATACACGTTTACCATATCGAGCGAATAACAGCGAAAATATCAAATAACGAGTCTAATTTAATCTCAATTGACTGATATTATTGAAAGTTTGACCAAACGAGACCTCAATAATCTCTCAACCAAAATAAAATCCATCTTATTAGAGTTTGCTTTGATTTTGGACTTGAAAAGTTAAAAGATGAAGATGGAAATTTCGGTGTTGAGCCTCCTGTTCTGGATATTTTTCCATTCCTTGATCAAAGGGTCCATCAGCGACGTCATTCGTAAGTTTTATTTTTTCTCCTGCATATAAATACACATCTGTGTGCACACAGGATGTGTATTAATAATTAACACAAATTAAATAAGGCGACTAACCTTGTAAATAAACCGGTCTATGTATTTTTCTGGGAAATATTGCACGTACTTACATAACATGATGCTATAAACCGACCATATAAAATATCTCACTTCAAATAATTAATTACTTAATTCGATTATTGTCACACCCATTTGTTAAAAGGGTGTAATTATTGCCATGAAGCCAAGAAATAATTAAGTTGCCATGTCTCCTTGCGTCAATCAAACAAATTGTAGCCTCATACTTCGCAAGTCATATCTTGCTTTCTCTTAAGTTAGAGCCATATGCACTTCCATAATTGACTCTTAATTTCTAGTTTCAACGGGAAGGATCATGAAAGGTGTGAATTAGCTCGATTAGGATAAGGCAATACATGAGTTTGTGAATATTGGTCATGCTATAGTTTTCCCGTTTTCTTTGTAAGTGATTTCAACGTAGATTAGATTACTCATACATGAAATGAGCACATGCAAAGTTTATAATGCACGTGTACAAGTAAGTGAAGAGCATTTCACAAAAAATTAATTAATTATTGAATATTTTCCCCTTACTTTGAAGCCAACTCCAAGTTGGAGATTTATGAGGGAGAAGGAAGGAGATCGTATTTCTAAACAAAATTAGAATCATCGATTGAGCAGAGAATCAAAGTATCAACATCTAGTTTTTGTGTCAGGTTTCCTACATAATATAATTTGAAACAGCTGTACAAGTATTTTGGTTTGATAAGATAACCATGATGATACGATGCACATGTATTCGTAGAGATTTCGAGAAACAATTTTATGCATTTCGAAGGAAACTTACTGGAAACTTACCACATACGAGTACTTCATTATCGTCCTCATGCATACCATCCCACAAGTAATTATAAGTATACCCTTTTAATTGGTACCTAACTAGTTCAATTAAACTTAATTGGAAACATTAGCTTTTCGACATTTACCTTTAGAATTGATCATTATTGCTGTTTAATGTCATCATTAGGCCCAGTTTCGAGTGCACATAAACACTGTGTAGCTTATATGCAAAGTAAATTTGACTTGGGAAGACTTTTATTGAGAATCTCAATAATAAAAAGTAAATATACATATGTATACATTTATGTACCTCAATTTAAGATGCACATACATATTTAATTTATAAAATTATTGGCAAATCTCCTTGCCTAACCAGTTCAGCTCGATTACTTTCAGATTTTAAGATTTTTAAGATTTTAATCTGGCTCATTGTTAGATAGGAATCATTGTATACCTCTTACGTATCGTATGTTTACTACGTTTTTCCTGGGAACTCGAGTACCAAAGTAATTAGCAAAATTTGATTAACTTATAGTCGTAGAAGGTAAAGTTCTGGTTTTCGGGTGGATTAAAATGATGCAGATCGAGTTGATTCCGTAGATATCGATACTCATTCCTTTGAAACACAAACTGGCGGTTGGGATCCTTTGAACCCAATGCAATGAAGCAAACCCACGTCTTTAATGCGAGCAAAGAGAGAGAGAGAAAGTAAAGTAGCGGAGCGATATCTCTTGTGACTCGACTGCTTAGAGCAACCGAGGAGGATAATTAAAGTTTTCTTATCTGTGTGAAATTGTGTCCTAATTATCCCCTTCCTTTCACTTACTACCCCTCAAAGAAACGCACGTACCAACACTTATTCGGGCATATCTATCTACATAAAATAAAGGCCAGCATACTAACACTAAACCATTCCGGGGGCAGCACGCTTTCACATAAATAGTGTGGAGAAAGACATGACGGAATTCAGCACACAACTTACACACACAACTCTGAAATAAGTTTGTGATAAAACGTTCCTCAAAAGTTGTAGTGCAGTTAAACAAATGCATTAAGCATGAAGGGCTTATGGACACCATGACACTGCTGCCCAGAGTTTCTTTCCAGACATTTTTATGATAAAAGACGAAGCCCCATTATGAAGAAGATTAAAAATTTTGCATTGTTTATGCACGTTTAAAAGCGTTTGTTGTTCTAAAAGTATAATGTTCCTGCAGTGCGTGTGTGAATGTGCATAATAAATATGCATGCAGTGACTGACTACTGACCACTAGTCGCAAAATGATCAATGGGAATGACAATCTCTTGGAATACGTAATATGCCAAATAATAAATTTGTCTCGCCTGCTAGTTCTTTTTCCTACCCTTGTATTGCATCGAGGGAGCAGCAATTGTATACTCAGCATAGTGGTGGTTGCTTTCACCAACGGATGCTTTGGCTGAGCTCAGCATTTTGCATGTTCTTGCAGCTTACACGCGTCTGATTCATGAAATGTATAACGGTATCATATTATGCACTTTATTCATTTCTACATCTCCTATCCTGTGCCAGGTCCCATCACCACAATACTGCGAGCACAAGGAAATATAAAACATGCTCATGTCCCAAAAGCTGCGATATATAAATACTCAACCTCTTTGTCATCGCCATTCATATAAATATATAGCATTCTTTGTTGCCTTGTTGCAAGGCTAACTTTGAGAATGGTTTGGTCTGCTTTTTGTTTAAATGTGCAGTAATTAGAGAAGTATGAATTGTTCCAATAATATTTACTCAATATTTACATATGCGAATCAATTGGTATTCTCCGTTAAAATGAGAAACTTGCAACAATCACTCATTGTACAATTCTAATTCTATTCTTCAATTACCGAATATAAATCAAATTACTCAGGTTCGTGAGAGATGGGGACAAAGATCAAAAGTATTAGGTAACAATAAGACAATGGTGAGCAGACGAAGTAAATATTAAAGTTAAGTTGGCTGGTTGGTTGATTGTTTGAGAAGAAGAGACCTGTACGCTGCTTTAGTTAGCTGAACTAACAATAAGTATGCACATATGGTGTCGTGGATGGCGTCTTTGTCCTCCGTAGTTTCAGTCTCCGTATCTCAAGTCAAGTCAAGAAGTGGGGAAGCAAGATGTCAACAGACACCGAAGGGTGACAGACCAGACAGACGCCAACTTTCACCTTACAGCAGAACTTGCAGTTAGTGTCTCGGTTTCTATTTTAAGATTTTGAGTTCAATTGAAAAAATAAAAATAATTACTCAAGTAATGTGTTGTTGCTCAGTCTGAGCAGGTTAAATGAGCATTTATTCTGATAGAGATACGACATATGTTGGCTAAATAGCTGCCTGTAAATACATACATGTTAAGAACAAGTTCTCAGAGACCTAATGTAAAACTTTGTCCTGATGTTTCTCGCAAACTATACAAACTCTATTTTCACCAGAGCCCAATCTACCATGTTTATCGTTTATTAACATCCTCAATTAAATTAGCTCAAACTCACAAAGTCTAGAAAGAGTTTATAAACACATGAAATGAGGAATAAAACAGAGTCATAATTCTCAATTAACAAAATATGAACTTTCTTTGGTATGAGCTAGTTTGCTTATAAAGTTTCCCCCCTGTCTACAAATTCTGTATGCACGTACTTTTCTATGAAAAGATTCGAGGCTGTTATGCAATACAGATGCACAATACAAGGTTGGTACATTATATGAACATAAACGGGTTCATATGTATGTGCGAATATAGGTACGTCATTAATATGAGTTTAGATTTTCACTCGCATCGGTCGTATGTGCATGGGAGTAAATTTGGGTTATATTTATACGCAGTTGTAGTATCCTTGCCCAAGTTTGTGCAAATAAGTCCGTAATGGCGCAAATACAAATTAAGCTTGAGCAAAATCATTCATTACACTCTCGTATTTTGTGCGTAAGGAAGGATGTTCGGATTTTCAAATTTTCTTTCTCCTTTCTCCTCACAACTATGTATATACTTCATTTCATATCCATGTATAGGCATCACACTCTACGATGTTTGAGTAGAAATGACGACATTCGTGCTTCCAAGTTTCGAATAAATTCTACACAAAAGTGAAATTTGAACGTCTCGGGTGGATGATGAATAATACGACGAGAATTTGGAGACAGGGTGAGAAACCAGTTCATGGGATTTTGACCAGTTGTTCTTTCGTTTTGAAATCACTTGCTTCTCTACTCCTCCTTGTCTGGATGTTCTAAGAACGAGGTTTTGTGTACATATGTGGATGACGTAAGCTGCATTTGCTCAGTGTGTTTCAGTCATATCTTTTGTACAGGTTATCCAGTTTTATTACATGATTACTACGGTATATACTTATTCCGATCGTATTGTGTATGCAATTATGATTATGATTAGACTTATCTACTGATATTCACATCATGATATGGTTTCTCAGACATAAATCGTTTTATACAACGAACGTATTTTTTTAAATAAAGTTAAGCTCGAACTTATTTATAAGTTATCTTCTACATAAACATGTGGTACATATATAAACAAATAAAGAAATCAATTTAATTCAGCGCTTTAGAGATTGAACTACAGCCTGGATTGCTCTTATGAACTGATAAAAAAAGAATTAATTTCACAATAAACAGACCAAACCAGGTCTGAATTCATCCACCATCAGTCTATTCATGTGCAGTAGACAGATCGGATAGGCTGCACCCACCCAAGAAAAATTAGACATGATTTAACTGTATTAAAGAATGGTGGACTGTTTCTCTATCCAACGAGTCAATATGAAAAAGGCTTCCCATTTGCATCATGAGTTGGGTTTAAAAGGTTAGTGGATAATGAATGAGCTGCTAGAAGGTCCTCTGAGGCTTTTTTTCTTTTGAGCTCGATTTGTTTCTTCGTAAATGGCACACTTGGGATGAATTTATCCAACAGCTCCTCCAAACCCAAAGTCTGCAACGAATTTTACTTGTAACTCGTTCAGTACCGTTTCAAGATGTTCAACTTTCCCCTAGATGCTCACCTACTAAAGTACGTAAACATCTATGGCGATGTGGTTTCCTTAATATTTGTCATACATCACTAATTTAACAATTATATTCAAGTCGTTCATC